TTATTCAATTACACATCTTGTTTCCGTAATAACTAGGACACATGCATAACTTCTTGTAAGATGTAGCACAAAACGTGATTCGTGTCAGAATTTTGCATGGGCTATACAACATTGGTTGAGAGCCTATTGACGGTCGTTATCCCTAGGAATCGTGCTCCCAAACGTCAGATATGGAGGACTCGACAGTTGTATCGTTATTAACTTTGCAAGTCGCATGGCCATTGGAATGGCAGGTCAGAATAACGTGATGATGGAGTCATGGATATCTGCGTGACCTTGAAAAAGTTTGCACATATTCGCGGAAGTGTATCTCAGAAGGTGAAGAGTTAGATCTTAAGAGGGACTGGTCTGTGAACTGCGCCGAATGATCGTCGAAGCGGCTATTTCAGTTCAAACCTCCTTTAAACGGAATGGTCCACATTTGAAGACAATAAGGCAAATATCAGATATGATAAAATAATCTCACTTATAAGAACTGGTATACTTCTAAGTGAAAAAGACTGCCCTCAACAACGCAATTGCTTGACTTAGTAAATGTGCTCTTTAATGCGCCATTGTTTGCTTACGTCATCGCACCTTGCACAACATTGATTGAACACCAACTGACTGCCGATATATCTGGAAATCGTGGGCACGAACACCAGATATCAACGACTCGACAATATCTTTCTTTGACGTTGCTCGCTGGATGGCCAATGGAATTGCAGGAGTTGGATGACGTTGTTATGACGTAATGGATACCTGACTGATCTTGATGTAGTATCCCAGAAATAGTCTGCACATTTTCCCGGGCGTGAAGCTCAAAACTAGAGGAGCTTGGGTCCTAGGAAGGGCAGGGCTGTGAATTGCGCTGGATGATCCTTAAGGTGGCTAATTCAGCTCAAAACCCCATATGCATGTGGAACACTGCCTTTAAAATATTGCTTGCCTCGGAGGCGCTGAGCTTTACTCTCTCAAACCATAGCGATCCACCGATCCTGCGACAGCTGGTGGTGCACCAAAATGTGACCTTTTGCTATGCAGCGGACTGTTCTGCGCCAGGTCGAGGGTTCCGTTGCCCTGGATCGCGTGTTTTGGCTAGTGACCCGACCGCCGAGCTAAGGGTGGGCTTCACCCGAGGTCTTTTACCCCCCCCCCCCCCAGAAAAAAATGCGATCTTTGCATCGCCCAATCAGCCAACGACAGATTTTTTGCCGGATGAGAGGCTTTGCGTGGTTCAGATTTTCTAGGGACGCACTCTCATATCTTGTTGCAGGGCTAGATTGGCAGCGCTGACAGCCGACCGGACTGCTGCGAGAGGCGGCAATATGACACTCCGGAGTTGCACCTCATCAGCTGGATATCACTTTGAATTGTTTCAGGGGTTTTGGTGATCTTTTTCAGCCTTAATCCTTGCGGGGTCTGCTGATGGATCAGCACAGTTAACGTTTTCTGAAAGCTATGACACGGTGTTCTGTGATTAAACCGTCGTCTTTTAAACGCCCCCCCCCCCCCTCCCCTGATCTTAGTTTTGTGGTTAACGCCGCATAGCATCATGGCAGCAAGTTGATCACTTTTTAGATGTGACAACATACAGGTGCCCACATCATGCGCGTAAAAACAGCTGCTGTGTGGTACTGCTTCTATTACAGGATTATGCGAAATTAGCTAATTGAAGGGCATCTCTATACACGCCTGTTTGGTTTTTCCCTCATGAACAATTTTCCTTACCTGACTCATCCTTACCGTGCTGCTAACAGACTAACCCAGCTTCCTACAGCTCACGCTTCTCACCATGGCTTCCACTACGGAGGCAAAATCCGCGACATGGAGACATGGAGGCATTTTGGGCGACTGGGGGAGCATCTTCACAATCAACGTCTTAAAAAATGACCGCGGATATCGACGTCTAAGCTACTAACAACTTGGTGTCCGCATCAGAATGGTATTGCTGAAAACAGCAACAGACACCGTGAAAATATACGATTAGGGCAATAGTTAGTGGATCCAAGCTGATAATTGCAAACTTGAATTATGCACCAGGCATCAACGAGTGTGCAACACTAACAATTTGGGAGAAATGGAACCAGCGATTTGATGAAAAGAAGTTTTGGCGAAAACAGTCGAAATTACTTCCGCTAAAGAGGTGGATATTCACATAAAATTTTGGGGATGGCAAAACAGAGTTTTACTGGTGTCATTTGTCGTGGGGGAGAGTGTAGTTGCCCATTCGCCCCCCCCCCCCCTCATACCTTGGATTTGCCCCTGTGTGTAAGCAGTTCAGCCATTTCCTCGAATGTTTCCATGCAGGACGAAAATTTTCAGGCGGTTTGAAATTGTTTTCTCATTTTCGGCACCCCTTTGATACTATGAGAAGGGAGCTTATTCGAAAAAATTTCGACGTGCTAGGAAAGCCACAAGGAAGCGCGTTGGTTCCATGGGGCGCCTAGTCCCTGTGTTTAGTAAAATATGACCCAACCCTGTGGATGCTTGCTAACTTGTACAAATTTTTCGTCAGTTCGTAAACTGCAACAGAGCCGGGAGTTTCGCATGCACAAAACACCGTGCTCGCTAAGGCTCGGGTCCGACAAAAATGATGGCCCGTACCAGTAGAGACTACATCTAAAATTTCGGAGACGCCACAATGACTAGTCTCATACATCGTGCACCACGGCGTGCCCAGTACTCCCGGCATCCAACAAGAAAATATATCATTTTGCCCCAAGCACGGTCGTCATATTTTGTACATTTTAGCATCTAACGCATCCTCAAAGCTGACTGAAGAGATTTGGGAAAGATTCGGTCTACCCAGGTAGGCCGAAATTCCCCAAAACAGAACGTTTCGGTGAATTCACGGACACGAGGTAGCGCGAGCTATACGACGCGAGCTATACAACACAACGCGAGCTATAGGTTTTGATCCGATGTGGCCAGCGACCAAACCATAAGCCACACCGCTAGACCCTGGGTTTCTTAGGTGCTCAGCGTTGGCGAGCGCCCAAACCATAAGCCACACCGCTAGACCCTGGGTTTCTTAAGTGCTCAGCGTTGGCGAGCACCCAAACCATAAGCCACACCGCTAGACCCTGGGTTTCATAGGTGCTCAGCGTTGGCGGGCGCCCAAACCATAAGCCACACCGCTAGACCCTGGGTTTCATAGGTGCTCAGCGTTGGCGAGCGCCCAAACCATAAGCCACACCGCTAGACCCCGGGTTTCTTAGGTGCTCGGCGTTACTCGGGGTGGTCAGCACAGCGGTATGCCCGATGAAAGGGATGATCACCTGTAGTGGTTTATGTCCAGATGGTGGACGTGATGAAGGAGGCTGATCGTGTAATGTGACTACGCGGTTATCGTTAGCAAAATCCGGGCATTCTCCCGCGATGGGATATGATCCCTTACCAACGCTTCAAACTCGTCACATTTCCCGTTTGATGCTTGTCCTATGCTACGGGAGAGGGGGGAGCATGGAGTCAGCTGTTTGAAAATGTGTCGGTATTGTGATAACCTTAAATGACAAATGCGAACAAAAAAGGAAAGAATTCACAGATGCTGTTAACAACTAGGTCCTTGACTGCCCCACCTACATAAAACTACTGAACCTGCACACAACCCGCTGCCAGCTGGAAGAAGTTCAAACATTATTCATTCCGTCGTTTTAATGGGGAAGTGAGGTCCCAAGACATCGCCTGAACAGCGGCAAAGCCCTGTTAGCTTTAATAAGGTTCCATTGAATATGGAAAGTGATGAACTGGAACTCTTGTCCAGTGCTCATCTTACCGCGATGGAGGCCAGTTTGAAAGGGAGTCAAAATATTATTCCTCTGAGTGCGGTGGTGCCTATTCTGATAGTTGGACTATCATATGACGATAATGGAACGGTTTCAAACTAATAATTTTCACTATGTGCTTTGTGCTGCACTGTGCTTTATAAATGCATTGTGTGCTGTGCTGTAGGTGTTTAACTGTGCTGTATTGTGGTGTATTTAAACGAGCATACCACTGTGATTAGTCCAAACAAACGCGTAGTAGGGATGCGCCTGCATTCATCACTAAAGACAATGCGTCGAAGCAATGACTATTTCAGCAAAACGCGATGTCGCCACTGCACCATGCGGCATGCTGTATTCTCGACCCATGACTGACGTGGAGCGTCTTTGCATGGTACACAACCGCCTACAGCTGCACAGTGCGAGCGGCTACGCTGCTCGCCCACGTGGCGTGAGCGTGCACGCGGGTGTGGCCCCTGCGCGGTCGAGCACCCGTGTCTGCGTTCGGGTCGTCCCCTTCCCATCCCCCCCCCCCTCCCCGACGACACGGGATCCGAGAGCAGAAGCTGCATGCTCCACACGGCCGTCACCGGTCGCCGCCCGCTATATAAGCCCGCACGTCGGTCAGGCTGGCACACTTCTGCCTCGCCGGCGGCCACACAGCCACAAGGTCTGGGTGGGGGGAGGGGGCTAGGCGCGGGATGTGCCCCGGCATACTATAGTGGAGTGGAGTGGAGTGGAGTGGAGAGGTGTGGGTTGGATGGCCGGGCCGTGACGGACGGAAACGTCGCGCGTTTGAGACCTTTAACTGTTTCGCCAGCAGCTATTCTGAAGCTTCAACTGATTCAGGTTGTTTTAGCTGTCTGAGAACATCGCTCTGCCTACTGCTGCTGTGGCCGACTAAGACATCTCCTTCGTTTTTTGTGTGGCATGCCTGTAGGAGCTTGAATGGTATGGACATGCAATTGTATTGTCTTAACATAGGCATGGACGTTGAAATGTGCTAAGTGTTATCTTCGGAAAGTTACAGAAGAGCGGCTCACAAATCAGACCATTTTGACTCCATAACAAACAGCAAAAGTTTCTATATGCAGGCTCGCGGTACCAGGAGTGCCTTCCACGGCGGCCGATGGTGTGACTTTGCAAAAGATGCATGTCGAGCGTTTGGCCAGGTCTAACTAGCTCATCCGCAGCCGAGCGCATCGCGTGCTCGGTCTGTGTCGTCCCAACCAACGGCCGCCTCCTGCCGCAGACATGGTCCGTCTGACGTCCGCCCTGCTGCTGTGTCTGGCCGGCCTGGCGGCGGCCGCAACAAGCTGGCCGCCGCACAGCCATCTCAGCCGCCCGGGCTACCGCCACCCGATCTACGTGTTCAGCCAGTGGGGCAAGGCCCACCGCGGTATCGGCCGACCGAGGCCTTCGAAGAATCGTCCATTCGGAGGAAACCTGGCCAACCAATTCGCATCCGGTGGGCTGAACGGCGTCTCAACCAGCGAACCAGGCCCCGACCCCCCCGGCGGAGCGGAACCCGACTCTGCCGGCGCATCGGGCCCCGACTCCCCCGGCGGAGCGGAACCCGACTCTGCCGGCGTATCGGGCCCCGACTCCTCCGGCGGAGCGGAACCCGACTCAGCCAGCGCATCGGGCCCCGACTCCCCCGGCGGAGCGGAACCTGACTCTGCCGGCGCATCGGGCCCCGACTCCTCCGGCGGAGCGGAACCCGACTCAGCCAGCGCATCGGGCCCCGACTCCCCCGCCGAGCCGAACCCCGACTCTGCCAGCGGGCCCGAACCCGAATCCCCCGCCGAGCCGGACGGCAGCGAATCGTCCGCCATCGGCGCCACCGGTGAGACTGGGAGTCCGGACACGGGCAGTGGAGAGAATCGGGCTTTGGTTATAGAAACAAGAAACTAGTGACAGTTGGACTCATCAACTTTCACGAAAATGCCCAACTTTAGGCTGGGGTAGGATTTTTTTGAACTTTTTCACATGTGTTGTTGACTATACCATAAATGCATTCTTTGTTCACTACATTCACTACACACAGCTCCAATGACCCCCAAGGGATCCTAGTTTGGCTGGGCGGCCCTAGCAAAATGGCCCTACAGGGCTAAATTCGCCGCAGCTGATAATGTCGAGGACGAACTCACCGCACTTGATTATCCTAACCCCTTGCACCAGTAACAACTCAAACTTATTTCCTCGTGACACCGCGCATCGCGTTTATGTGCAGACCATGAGTCCGCGTTATATTTTACACTGGATGTGGTGCATTTGTGTGTCCGGCGAAGAACTGATCTTGGATGGCGTCTGCTGACGGCTGTTGACGTGTTTTGTCATTCTGTCATTGTCTGTCATTTGTTTTCCCCAGACGAGCTGTTCTTCTCTTGGCGTGACATGGATCTGGACCCGCGCGATAGGTACACGTGGCAAGAGGCTAAGGACCAGTGCGAATCGCGTAACCTAAGGCTCGTGTCTCTGGACACCCGTGAGAAAAACGACCGTGTCGCCGACCAGATCTTCGATGACGGTAAGGCCGGCCAGCCTGCCGAGCCTTCTGAAAAAGGCGGGAAGCAAAAGGGAGAGAGAGAGAGAAAGAGAGAGAGAGAAAGGGAAGAGAGTCACATACACACACACACACACACACACACACACACATATATATATATATATATATATATATATATATATATATATATATATATATACCTATACATCTATAATGTATCATTTCTGTACATATAGTGCATACTACATATGCTACACATGCCACACATGCATATATATATATATATATATATATATATATATATAGACATATACATATATATATATATATATATATATATATATATATACGTATATATATATATACATGTATATATTTATATGTATGTATATATATATGTATGCATGCATAAGCGTTAACTTCTAGGTGTATGAACCTGAGAATCGGTTAAATCCAAAGACCTTATACGGGTATTTGATATGCTGCGGAAAAATGTGAGCACAATTGATAAAAACAAAGGAGGTAGATTGTGAACTATTTCCGCAGAAGTAGGTTCGATGAAAATCGTTCTGAGACATCTGTCATTCCTGAAACACTGGCCATTCACGACATTGGAAGCCATTCTCGGCCACCCACGTTGTTACCGTACCACCTGGGGGATACAGTGCACACTTGACTAGAACGTAACCTCGAACACACCACAAGTGAATGCATCGAAATGACAGCCATGATCCCAGACAGGCGATGAGGTCGTGTTCTGCCTCATGCCGCTGCTTGGTCGTGGAGAGCCAGCTGAGTGTGTTGGAGTGTTCATTGCGAGCCGCGTGTCCCCTTCGCCGCAGACGTGGCCTACAGCTGGACGTCCGGAAGACAGAACTCCGCCACCGACTTCGTCTGGGGCAACGGCCGGCTTGTGTCGGAGGGCTTCACCAACTGGAGCCCGACGGGCGGCGACGGCTTCCCACAGCCCGACGACCGCGAAGGCCCCGAGGACTGCCTGGCCGTCATCAACAACGCGTATGGGGACGGCGTTGTCTGGCACGACATCCTATGCTCCCGCGAGAAGCACTTTGTCTGCGAGAAGTAGAAGAGGCTCTGAATAACGGCGGGGCGGCCGGCAGCCGCCGTCGCCGCCGCCACCACCCGATATGTGCAACGAGTTGGGCAAGCGAACCGGACGCCGATCAGCCGTCACGTGACATTTCGCACACGCTGTGACGAAACAGATCCGACCAGTGTCAGTGGGGTTTTAGACCTGCCTTGCTTGCACTGTGTTCCTGATTTCACAAACGAGATGATCAGGATGTTCTCACTTTAACTCTGATGAAGCGAAAACCGAGACGAACATGCTGACCCCGGCGCCCATCCCATCACTGGGATCTCGCTGAACCGTGATCTGCGCTATGGGGATCGAGTGCGTGCCTGTGACATATTCCGGCCATGCTACGCTGTGGGGAGCGAGTGCGTGCCTGTGACATATTCCGGCCATGTTACGCTGCGGTAAGCTATGCAACGCGTGAGATGGTATGCCTGCTGGCATACGTGAGATCGTCTTGAAAGGAATGTTACACATTTGAAGAGGTTGAAGCAAGCGACAAATATGACGAAATAAACGCATTTATAGCTATTGGTGTATATACTTTCAAGTGGAAAAAATGTTCTAAAAATACCAGTTCTCTGTTTCGCAAATATGGTTCAGGCAGTGCAATATTGCCACTTACTTATAAACATTTCAAACTCGCTGGGAGATGGCGGTGCGAGTTGAAAGTATTCGCTGAGCCATATATCGTTATGAGTTCGTGTTTTGGTCGTCTCTCGTCATGTTCTTGGATATTCATCCGTTACTGAAAGATAATCTCCACACTTGAAGATGTAAAGCAAGCATTAGATATGATAAAATTCAGATAAGATAAAAAGTCACTTATTTGGAATACAGTTGGGTGGAACGGATTAGTCGAGATAAGGCAATTTCTCTATTTAGCATACACGCTTCTCAATACAGCATTGTCAGATAGCGTCGCCGTACCTTGCATAACATTGGCCGAGAGTCAGTTGATGGTTGTTGTATGAGGAAATTGTGCCCACAAACGCTAGATGGAAACGACTCGACAATTATATTTCTCTTCTCCTTGATCGCCGTAGGCCCAATGAAAAGGCAGGATTTGAATGATGTGATTATGACGTCATGGATGCCTGGGTAACCTGGGTGAAAGTCTCCCCGAAAAAGTCTGCGCATCTTCGGGCTTTTACCGCTATGCGCGATTGAATTTCCGTTCATTATCGAGTCTGTGGCACTCATGATACTTCTGCATCACTTTCTTCACAGGTGTTGAAGGCTAGCATATCTTGTACTCGTTGATTCACGTCAAAGCGAAATTCTGAATTTGTCGTTGGCCATCAGCTGATCACATCGACTCGTCGGCCACCCGCTGGAAACCATCTGGCTGGGACCAACCTTGAAATCAAGTGTTGTACTTGATTTTGGTGGTATTTGGCAGCAACTTTATCCAATTTTGTCATATTTTTTCGGAAATTCTTAACCTCCAATAAAGGGGTCCACCAAGATCTGGGGAAACAAACGAGGCCCTTATATGCACATACGCACTGCGTCTAGCTTTCTACTGCTCACAGGAAGATGGATTCCCATTGAACAAAATCGATACACAAGAATGTCGAAGCTTAACGGCCAAAACAAGATACTTTTGGGGGAGTAGGCTCCAAACTCCGGGGAGGTAGCACAATGTTGCCTGTCACCCCCCCCCCCCCTGACGAAATCTTGGATCCGCCACTGATTAGGCATGCTATGCAATATGCTATATAAGCACCGCATTTCATTTAAGGCATCGACGTTGTTCCCGACTACTAATATCTACTACTCACCTGCCTCCTTCCTTCCACTCTCCTGCCAAAGCCTAATATAGCATGCTGGGTTCACATCCTCTCTTCAGACTTCATGGCAACACAGAATCACATTCGGCCCACATGAACTAAATAAATAGCGTTTTTGATGATGTTTTTGCTATGCTTCCTATTTCTGCCAGCTGGATGCGCCCGTGAATTTTGCATTTTGAAAAGTCGTTCGGAAAGAGCAATTTTTGAATCATGAGGTCTTGAAATTTGTTAGCTGCGTTCAAATCGGGTGTGACATGACGAGCGCGTCGTATCAAGCGTGCCGTTATGATTCAAATGTTTGAGGTGTCCCTTGTTGCCCCCTTTCAACTATGTTGCAGGCTTTTCAGGAGCGTAGACCTTGTAGGAGGGAACCAAACGTCGTTTGGTTAATCGACCAAGTAGTTCTAGGCATATCAAGAGGTCGGGTGTGAAAGACTCTTTTGGCATAACGTAGTTTCGACGTGCCTGAAATAATCGGTTAAACCAAATATAGTCAGTCTGTATTCGACTTCCAAACTAACGACAGAACCAAAGCGTGGTAACACCAACATCATGGCTAAAGTTTCATCATAACAGCTTGCACCTGAAATAGGACCGATAACACCTGGGCACCGTTTAGAATAACCAATAGATTGTGAACATCCTGGGTCAACATAACGTCAGCAGCAGAAAAGCACGATGGAGCTGGTAGTGTAGTGTAGAAGTTGTGCCTGATCATTCATCAGACATATATCCTTTTTTAAATATGGCATTTCCAAAGTAAATAACATTTCAGTAGCATACCGTGAATAAGCGGCGTGTTATGTGTAGTTTTTTCTCCAACGTCCATCGCGCTGCCGGATTCCGCGGGGCGCAAACACCAGCCCATTCGTCGAGCAGACCGAAGTGGCACTGGTCCCGACGCATTAACCGTGATGTTTATTCATCCCTGGCCTATCATGCGCCTTCACTCATAGCTTTCTCGAAACGGTAGAATGCTTCATGTTGCGGCTTGAGGGCAGCTGTGAGTGAAACACGGGCATATATAAGCACAGAACGCCTGTCTCCAGGGCATGAGTTTGCGTTCGCGATCCCAGCCTCCGACTGATCGGCGGTGCCCGAGTGTGCTCGGTCGTTGGCACCATTTCTAGCAAACGGTCCCATAAAATGCCTAAGAGACGCTTTATGCAATGGTTCTCGCTGGCCTGAGCGGTGGAGGCATGTTTAGTTCTTTGGGCCTCGGGCTGGGCACGGAGTGTCTGAAACGTCATCATTGCTGTATCTGGATGAGCTCAGTCCATAGTGGTCTCGTTTTCCCACTGGACATACTACCTTGATCATTACCGCGTTTTATCGTCATGCTCTCTGCTTGCTTTAGAGGCTTCATACTTTGGCGAGTGGAAATTTCACAGTAGCGCGAGAGCGGCAGCGAAAGCGTTGCGCGTAACAATTAAAGTATGGCTTTCAAAACATAACAACGGCACCCAGCCTCTCAAAAGCACCCAGGACCAACAAATGAGAGTACATCATGGCGTGTATTATTCCAATATCAGCACCACACGGGAACCACGAACCATTGCCTCGGCCCCATGTGGCATGCTGGACCGCAGACGCTTAATAACACATGCACATTTGCAGTTCATACACCTGGATAAGTAATGAAAAGATAGACGCCTCTTTGACCAGACACAGCATTCTCTTGAGGCGTCAGCACAAACTGCCGAAAAGCCGCTGGTGCTCCATCTGTTCAGACAAATGAACTACACACAAGCCATCATAATCACCGCCGTCTGGCCGCGCATGCGCCGTTTGACGAACTAACCCTGCACAGCGCAGCACAGGACCTCAGGAGCCGGTCAAAACGGTAGCCCTGGATTATCTTTTGATTGAAGGTTTTCAGACACGTCTTGGCAAACTCATTTGGCTACTTATCCTCTCCAAATCAACAAGTCGTGACAACAACGTTCGCTACACGGACACCACATACACACATTGGACATGCACACAGCATCAACCAAAACTGGCCATGTAAACGTGTCAATTCGGTTCATTGGCGCAGCGCCGCTAGCCAGCCTGCACCAAGCACCGCGCATGCGCCGTGTCCCTCCCCAGAAATGGGCCACGCAGCACTTAACAACATAGATTTCGTGCCAGAACTAAACAATACTGAAATCAGAGACCGCACGGGTTGAGCAAATTCATGGGTACCCAAACATAATGAGTAACTCGCTAGGTTATGTGCAGGTTGTGGGAAATCACAGGTATGGGAGTTGGCAGTATGGGTGCGAGACAAGCCAAAAAAAGGATAAATCTAGGCTTAAATTTGTTGAGCCTTTTTCAGAGCTAAAGACAGACAAGTTGTAAGTGATTTGAACTGGCAAGCAGGTCGATAACAGGTGGGCAGGACTGATCAGCAACGGTTAGCGAGAGGAAATACCAAGACTCTAACGAAGGTTCCTCGTTGAGATGGAAAAACGCTGCATCAGAAAAGCAAGGTAGAATTTCCACTAATCGGGTGCCTTCTGCCATGTTTGCCTTTGGCTGACATGTTGTCAAAAGTCACAGTTCATAATCGGCGATTTCGTCATATGTCTACGCCAACTGGCGGCCCAAACTTTCGGTCGCAAACAGGATAAACAGCACGTGTCAGGTCATAGGTTCTCATTTCACCCGCAAACATTTGCCCGACCGTAGACAACGCCTCTCACTGGGATCCACGGCATGGTGCTTCCGCCCAGCCAGTCGCTTTGTTACCCGAACTGCCTCTCAATACCGACAGATACAACGTGCTTTATGATGCTTGACAGCATGGCAGGCATCGGTTTCCGTCAAGTTTCATGGCGCCGAAAACCAACCTACATTCTTCTATAAGGCTAGAATTCTTCGAGGTTCCTCGGGAATACACAGTTTATTAATGTTACGAAATGTGCTTGCTGAACGCTAGTGAAAAACGACACCCAGCGAGAAGCATTCCCCTGAAGCGCCTCGTTCAGACGAAAGTTTTGTTTTCAGCACACCGCAGCATCTATGTGCCATAATGTCTACGTCACTGCTGGACACGAATGTCATACTAGTGCCATGCTCGAGTTCTCTGAGACGAGTTACACCTGAGATAAAGCCAGTGCGTCCGGCGCACCGGCACCAAACGACGGAGCCGGCCGCATGCCGCATGTCGCGCCAGCAGTGCGAGGCATGTCCTACGCAACCATGCCATGTCATCGGTCTACAGGCACTGCCGCCACAGCTAGCTACAAGACGCTTTCCAAGTCGAGCACCAGTACAAAATATATCTAATTATGTAAAGCGAGTGACTGGGATTCTCGTTCCTCAGGTTAAGCAGGTGGCAATTCCGAAATCGCCTCGGCGCGTGCCACTGTCGACGGCAACGGCTGGGCTCGGCAGGGTTTAGCCACGCGTCACGCCAGTGCGTGCGACACACCTCAACAGCTGATATTCATATGGGGTGGAAGGAAGTTCGGTTTATCTTCTCTTGGGTTTTCAAAGCTATCGGGACATTGGAAGAGCCCTTTAGTCCCAGATTTTGGATCAGAAAGCCCATGCTAGTTGTACAATGCATAAAACGTAGTACTCTGGAGCATGCAAAACTACCGTAAAAATACATCATGCTTTCTCACTAGCTAATGCCGAGAGACTATGAATGCATCGATTTCTGCACAGTAACACAATGAATAACAAAAGGCGATAATATCACTTTTCCCACCAGTCATCCGATCGGCCATTAGAGCGTGACAGGGCCACCTGACCTTTGTACTTGACACGATGGCGTTGACTAGGACTGCGCGAGGGCAACTAGGCCCCCACTGTCTCGGCCCCCACCGTCGACCGGCCGCGCCTCGGCGCACCGCCGTTCCCACCACCGCCGCGTGCAGACGCTCCGACCACGCCCGAGCCCTCCGCGAAGCAGACGCCCGCGCAGCACCCTCTAGCGCGGAGCACGAACGATCCCCCTCCCCCCCCCCCCCCCACACACGAGACAGGTGGCGCCGGCCAGCGCCGCCGGCCGGCGGCCCCGGCGCCCGCCGTCGACGCCGGGACGCGCGCGGCTGGGCTCACATCACACGTCGGTGGTGGCCAGGCCGGCGGCGCGATGCCCCGGCGGGCCGTCCGCCTCGAGGTCGTACCTGGCCAGCTGGCCACCCGGCGCGCCGTTCACCAACCGCTCGGCCTCAGGGATGTCGGCCAGCTCGTGAGAGGCGCTGCGCTGCAGCCAGCCGACCGGCCGCGCCGACAGCGAGAGCGTCAGCTTGCGGCTGGAGTTGAGGTCGACCTCGTGCGTGTCCTGGCCTTCGATCTGGACGGCCGAGAGTGGCACGTCCAGGCAGGGCGCAATGAGGCGTGGATACTGCACGCCTAGCAGCTCTACCACTGCGCGCGCGTCCGGCCGCTGCTCGGGCGACACCGACCAGCAGGCGAGCAGCAGGTCGGCCCTGGGGGCAGCAGACACACCAGGTCAGCGGAAGGCCAGCCCTAGGGCACACACCCGGTCAGAGGCAGACCAGACCTCAGGGTAGCAGACAAAACAAGTCAGCGGCAGGTCAGCCCTGAGGGCAGCAGACACAATAGGTCAGCAGCAAGTCTGGCTTGACAGTCATCATTACGCTTCGTATCTATACCGCACTTGCATTGCAGGTAAACAGCACACTCAGTGGAGATACAGGTTATTAAACGAATGGTACGGTAGTCAGATTGCTGCCTGGTGTTTGCCATCTGATTACACGGAATGGTTTTCGACATCGGCTGACAGCGTATGAAGATGACTGCGCAAGTGGGCGCGACTTCGACTCGAACACGATATCAAGGGCTCCTATACAGTGGCTATTCGCTGTCAATAGAGTCGATTCGAGGGACAGCAGTTTACAATTTACTGCATCGGTAGGCCAAACCCTAAGCACAGCCATACACGTGGAGAACAAGTATTTTGTTTAGACGCCAGGCCTACAAGTGTTTGAATTACTCATACGTAAGCTGTGATAATCGTACTTTTTGGCTATCAACTACATCATGCTTAGAGAAATCACAAGGTACACAGTGCACCTTAAAGTTCAAAGACTATCGCAGACAGCAACTGACCCAATTGCAGCTTTGGTTTACTCAGTGATGATCAAAGAAAACGCATTTACTTAACCATATCTATCATTTTCTTCACATCACAAGGTGTTGGTTCGAGACCCCTTATTAACGAGCATAGTAGGGTAATGAGAAACCACGGTCTGATGATACCTCGCTAGATCTAAAAACAGCGGAGAAGAGTTCTCGGCCTTCAGCCTTTTCGGATCAACTAATATTTATTTGTGTAAAATTATCATGTAAGATGCAAGCATGACAAATTGTTAGGTAACACGTGTGCCTGGAAAGTTTCCATGTACGGTGTTCATAACCTGTGTGCCATATTTTTGCGAGTAAATTAAGTTATACAATCTTCGTCACTCACTACCCACACCAATAACTATCTGTTTCATTAACCGCGTCAGTTTAATGTTTGACAGCGGTTTTACCAAAACTCGTACTCTCGTGGACTCTCGGGGATGGTCCAGGGTCAAAAGCTCGTCTCCGCTAATTTAACATAACCCTTGGTTTTATGACATCGTGGTTCTGATTACACAAACAAGTGCATCTAATTTTGTCCATTCTGGATCCGGTCCAAACTGCGTTCAGAGCCAAACACAAGTCTGGTAAGCCGCCTCGCTGGCTGGCTGGCTGGCTGCCTGGCTGGCTGGCTGCCTGGCTGGCTGGCTGGCTGGCTGGCTGGCTGATTGGCTGGCCGAGCCCACTCACAGTTCAGTCTTGACGCCGCGAGGCACGCCCACGTAATGACCGGCGCGGACGTACTCCAGGACCTGGCTGTTGCTCAGGCCCTGGAACGGGAAGCTGCCGAACGTGATGATCTCGAACAGCAGCACGCCGTACGACCACATGTCCGACATGGGCGTGAAGAGGCCGTCGGCCAATGACTCTGGCGCCATCCACCGGACGGGCAGCATACCTGCGGTACGGCGGGGCGGCGTCAGATGGCACTACCAGCGGCGCTGAGCGCGACCGTTGCTCAGCCGTCCAGGCCTCGGCGGGCGCCGTCTACCGCCCGCCGAAGCCTGTCGCCGCTTTGCCACCAAGTTTATCATAACATATCACACATCACCGCAGTGGAGTTGAAAAGCAAATAATGAAATGTGCGAAGTGCGAAACTGGCACGTGTTTCGATCGGTACGCCAACGCGCAGCTGCGACACTGCTACGAGGTTCTTTCAACATGCAGTAATCAGCAGTGAACGAGAAAACAGCGGTAGCTGGTGAGTACCTTTCCGGTTGAACCTGTAGTAGTCGTTTTCGCACATTGATCGTGTCATGCCGAAGTCGGCAAGCTTGACCACTTGTTGTGCATTGATCAAGCAGTTCCTGCAGGCGACGTCCCTGGAGATGTTGCATAGAGTTAACACAGCGCAACGATCAATACGATGAGCTTGATAACACAGTAGTATTAGCCTTATTCCTCGGAGAAAAACCAGGAAAATAGAGATACAGTTGGGTTGATGTTTCGGCAGCACGTCTTTATCGAAACAATAGCAGAAGTTTCTTTTCACTTCTGCTATTGTTTCGATAAAGCCATGTTGCCGAAATATCAGCCCAAGTATATCTCCACTCTCCTGGTTTTTCTCCGAGGACTAGGGCTAAAACTATTGTCTTATCTATGTGAATAATGTCCCTCGCTAATGCATTGAACAACTTACGTTAAAATGAACTTGACACCGAACGTCAGCCAAATTTTGCTTGAGGTGCAGACAGTGAAGCAGACTAAAGAGCATACTTCAATGTTAATTTGCACGCAGTAATGAATGGATGATGGGGCAACGCAGTACGGAACACACGTGGGGAATGGCGGGTATTCCACTCACTTAATTTACAGGAAGAACCGAGGGCATAGAATCTGAACAATCGCACTGAAATATGAAGGTAAGACGTTTATGCTAGCGTTATGTGCCAAACTTAAGCTGTTTCATACAGCGCAAACGACATGACAGCGCTGTCGCGACGGTGGCAAGAACGTCATGACTGCTTTTGTGTTCTGTTGGACGATCGGAGTCAGGAAATCGGAGTTTGCTGATCTCGCACCAACAGCAAAGATGGCGGAAAAATGATCGCTAATACTAGCCATGGGTGGAATCCGCCCCCTAGTACGGTCAAACAACAACGGGGGCCGTCGAACAGCTCTGACCATCTGAGACCAGAGGTCAAGGTCGTGTCACGGACAGGAAAACCTCACCTGTGCACGTATTTCCGCTCGGCGAGGTAGCTGAGGGCACAGGCGACGTCTCTAGCCATTGACGTCAGCTTCTTGTTGGAGATATCGTTGTTCTCATCCTTGAAGGCCCTGTCTGATACCAAACTACGGCGAGAGAGCAAGAACGTCTTCAAGTCACCTGAAAAACAGAGGATTGTGCGTATAAATACACGGTATGTGTTACGAACTTGGAGTTATCATGCTGACAGCAATCGGCCTTCAGTATACCAAGAAGTCATCGGTACGTCATAATGCATCATACGCCATACAAGACGTTCTCAAGCAAACATTGGCCCTGTTGCCATTACACGACGCGTCAAGCACCACTCATGGTCACCAACATCTCTGATCACCACCGGCGCCGGGCCGTGATGTCCCCTCAGCCGGTCTCCGGTCATCACCGGCACCGGGCCGTTCCCCCTCAGCCGGTCTCCGGTCACCACCGGTGTCGGGCCGTGCCAGCTGGGCACGACCGCACGCCACCAGCCAACAGCGACCGCTCACCGTAGAGCATGAACTCCATGACGGTGAGGATTGGCTCGGAGCGCGTGCAGACACCCAGCAGCTGGACGATGTTGGTGTGGTTGAACTGTTTCATGACTTCCGCCTCGCTCAGGAAGTCCAGCTTCTCCTCCAGCGTGTAGTTCAGTTTCAGCGTCTTCACGGCCACCGAACACTGAAGCCAGCCAGCCAGCAGTGGTAATGTGGGTCGGCGCATGGGACATGCACACCATAAGCCAACCGTGATAGCACAACTCACAAGGTGGTATGTCTAACTACATTAATCGTCCATCACAACTTTAACATTCTCATTCCTTCAGTGGGACGTGCGGATGGAGCCCTGTGCCGCGACTAGATCACAAACTTAGAGCAGAGCCAGTGACTGTACTGCTGCAGCGCCCTGAACAGCAGGTCTGGCCAGTGCCGCTGCAGTGCCGTGAGCAGCAGACCACGCCAGACCAATAATTTCACCCGGTAGCACACGGAGCCTGATTGCAACGTTTCAATTGCAGACGTCGGTTTCCTGAACTCAGATCAGAGGAGCTTGTCGCTACATCAGCTTTTACTAATGCTATGTGAGGTTGTGGACGCTGTGACACAACACTTGTAAATTGACGCCATAGTGGCCTTCAGCATGACCAACACCGTGCAAACATTTTGTACCATAAAACAAGCAAGAAACTTACGAAAAAGTATCCAATCTTCCGCAGGAAAAGATCATAAGATTTAAGCAGCAAGGGACACTCGCGTGTGATGCGAGGATCTCTCCCGCAGAGCCAAAACACTTTCGCCATCGGTTCGGGGCCCCAACAGTAGCAAGAGACACCGATCCGAGTTTTGGGGCCCCTCCAGTGGCAGAGCACTCACCCACTCCTCCTTGGCGTCAACGCTGCGCTTGCGGTCGACGTGGCGGATGGGCCGCTCCCGAATCAGCAGCGCCTCGCCGCCGTACACGGTGCCGAACGCGCCCTCGCCCAGCTTGCGGTTGAGCACCACCTTCTCCCGCTTCACCTCCCACTCGTCCAGGCGCAGCTCCACCTCGTTGTTCAGTCCGAGCTCGCGCAGGCGCAGCACCTTCTTCTCGTACCTGAGGCCGCGCAGAGCCAACCGTTAGCGAACCATGGATGCGCGTCGTTGGTCTGAATGATGCCGAGGTTCCGGTGGGTGCACGCTGGCATCGCGTCAATCTCGTGATCCCAACAGATGTGACCTTGACTTAATGACTTTGAGATGTAGGATATGGGGAGGATGTGATCCTACCATTTCCAAACTGAGAGCAATAGATCCTGGCGAAAAACTGAATTGATCTTACGAGGTCATCACTACTGAGATCGACATCTTGATTGCGATTGGTAACATTTCTGTCTCAGGGTCAATAATAAATCACAAGGTATATTATTCTCCAAAATCCCACTTTTTATGCTCATGTTAAGCTATACATGCCCATATTTACCCAATCATGCCACGGAGCGACACGAAACCTAGGCATGTTCCTTGTTTAATTCTGAACACATCGATATGAGTTGTGTGTTTTGAGTATGTCTTTACGACTTGGGGCTTCGTTAATGTAACAGTGTCGGCCTGTCGCGCGCGATCGGCCAATTCACCGGTTACCGCCTGCTGCCCGCCCCGGCCAGGGATCGCCGTGCAGCGCTCCTAAAAAAGCGCCGCTACTCGGAAACCAGGAGGTTGGAGACACGTTGCTGGCACCAAAACACGCGCAATTAACGTCCTGTACGCTATTAAAGGTTTGAGGGTGATTATACAGCATGCTGGTGAAATATCACCACAAAACCTTTGGGGAGAAGGGTGACACCGAATTCCCTCCCACCCGGGCAAGAGTTGGGAAGTGCATATCACGTACGCCGTTAACAGACACAGATCGGCTATTTAGGGAAAACCATAGCACACAGCGCAGAAAGTTAATCCCAAGAAGTCAACAGCCTTTTTTGAACGTCACCGCCACAAGCAATGACAACGCGGTCCCAGCTCAGTGGCAGCCGTTTCAAACACAGCCGACGTCCCACTGGCGCTCCCAATCCGCCAGTCGGTGACGCCCATCGACAAAAAGTCGAATGGCGCCACGTATCCTCACTTCTTGGTACCATGCGGTGCCCGGTGCTGAGGTGCTGAGCATTCTCGGAAAGTGGGGGCGCGGTGGCATCCAGGGACCCCCTTGCCCTCTCGTAGCCCCTATGTATGCCCGTGACAGCTCATGTGGTGCGGCAGGGGTGTAACCACGCATCTGAGATGATGGGGAAGGGCGGGCAAACTATAGTAAAGGCGGACCTAATGATGACTTGGGGGGGGGCAAACTAGAACATGGGGGACAAGATGACTCTTAATGACATTTTGAATGCAAAAAATGACAACGTACGTCCACGCTTAAGATGAGGAACCCAAAACATATTTAAAAAAAAAAACAGGGAGTGCATGTCCTCCCAGCCGCGAAAGGTTTGCAACCATGTGGTGCAGACCGACCAACTAGCAGCAGCGTAGCAAGCACAATCACGGATCTAATCAGCAGAGCGGTACACAACAGTGCGATGAAGGCAGTACCCACCTCCGCTTGTAAAACATGACGCATGAGACGAGCACGACGAGCACGAAGAAGAGTCCCAGGATGTTGACGGCGATCACGGCGTTCTGGCAGGTGGTGTTGAGCAGATCAGCCAGCGGCTGGAGGTCGCAGGGCGCGCTGGAGCCGTCCACGGGCCGGCGGCCGTCCGGCGTCAGCCACTGGATACGCCCCATGGCGCGCTCGTCCAGTATGAGCCTGCAGCCAGATGGGTCAACCAGGTGGGTCAACCAGGTGGGTCAACAGCCGTGTCACCGGTCGGCAGGCAACCGTCCGATGGCGACCAGACTCGGTCAGCAGCCGTGCGACAGAGAGCCGACTCAGACAGCAACCGTGCGACCCGACTCGAACTCAACACGCAAGACCCGACTCAACACGCAACGGTCTGATCACAACCCGACTCAGCTGGCAACCGTCCAGCCGCGACCAGACTCGACCAGCAGCCGTGCGACAGAGAGCCGACTCAACCAGCAGCTGTGCGACAGAGAGCCGACTCAACCAGCAGCTGTGCGACAGAGAGCCGACTCAACCAGCAGCTGTGCGACAGAGAGCCGACTCAACAGGCAACCGTCCAGCCGCACCAGCCACGTCCAAACAGGCAACGAGCGGGACGCAGACTAGCAGACAGAAAATTTCACGGTGATTGACAATGTTCAGGGAAATCCGTTGAAATGTGAAACAGGTCTACAAAGAGGCGGAACATGAATAGAGAAATAAGCTCGATGGCCTGATCAAAGGCAACAGCAAAGGGCTGTGGCATTATTCCAAGCGCAAGAGGAAGACAAGAAAATTGTTCAGTTAATATTTGACGATCACGGCGGTATTATTTATGAAATGATCAAAATCGCCAAAGTTTTGAGCACGTGTATTTGAACGAATGAGTATGTACTAATGAAGATAGAAATAGCGTTCTTACGCTAAGTAACCACGAAGATAGAGCATTGCTCACTGTGACATTTAGCTATAGCGGTATTGTTCAGCGTATCAAAAACTTCGAAACTCGGAAAGCACCTGAACCAGATACATTTGGCGTTATATTCAAGAATTGTGCAGTCACATCGATGTTTCTAAAACAAAGTTTTATGCTTCGTCAAAAATGGAGAAGTTGCCAGATGACCGGCAAAAACCGTTAGTTTGATTTCTTAGAAAGGAGCAACCACGATATCCCGTCACTAAAGACCAATGTCACTTTCATGCATTTGCTGCAAAGTGATGGAAACAATTATAACATATTGAATACTTTGGCATTCGGAGGAACGGAAACTGATAGTTGATGAGCAGCATGGCTTAAGACGAAACTTGTGATATGAAACAGAGTTGCTAATGTTTGTAAATGATATAGGATTAGCACTGGATGAGAGAAAAGCTGTGCTCTTGCGTTTTTTATTTCAGTTAAGCCTTTGACAAAGCCCCTCATAAGCGCCTACTCCAGAAGTCAAAAGATTACGGAATAAACAGGACACTAATTAAATGGATAATATGGGCCATTTTCAACGGGAGCAGAAAGTCATCTTGGACCGCGTCCATTCGGTAGGTGCTTTTGTAAGTTTAGGGGCGTCTCAAGGCAGCATTTTAGAACACCTATTGTCCCTTGTGTCCATATATGCTAAAGGCAAAATACTAAATTGCGATATACGTTTATTTGCCGACGACGTGGTTATATATTCGTAGATTGGTTGTTCCAGTTAGACGAATGCAATTTTACACAAAAGTTTATGCTCAAAAGTTAGCTGGTTTGGCAAATAGTGGATGAATTTCAGCGCTTCCAAATAAGCCCTTATACGAATCACAAGAAATGGATTATCAACGGAACTTCAATGATTTTGAATGACCACGTGATAAAAATGGTGGATACATATCAGTATTTTGGTGCATAAAAATAAGATAGGTTTAACTCGAATAAACACATCACAAAATCGTTGGGAAAGGTAACCAGATTCTCAGGTTTGCCAATGAAGCATTTAACAGATACCCCAGTCAAATAAAGGTAATCGTCCATAATATATAACTCATTGGTCCGGCCAGTGTCGAAATAAGCGTGTTGTGTATGCGATCCCAATAACGGCACCTAGTCTATAGCATATAAATGTTTTAAAGAAGGGCAGCCATACTTGAACAAGTTTAAGATTATATTTAGGCAAGTATGATCGGAAGTAAGGAAGTGTGAATGATATGCTTGCTGATCTGCGTTGGAGATCACCGGAATGTAGACGAAAGCAGGCCAGGCTTTACTAGTTACCTTCATTCCCAAATGGAAACAATGGAAAGGCTGAAAACATTTTCGCTTCACCAAACCATGTCGGACATAGCGATGATTTCAGAAAAATTCGCTTAATGCATTCTCGTCTTCTTTGTTATCACGTCCCGTGTCTTCCTAATAGATCCGAGATTGGAACCGAGTCGATCCAGTCGTGACGTCTTAGCGTAATACCGTATACTTTTAAATGATACGTTGGGAAAATCATCTCGAGTGTTTATGAGGTCATTTTGTCTGGTATAAATGTACTGAATTATGTTTTAAGTATATATGGTGTGTAGTTACCGGATACTGTTACATGCTCAAGGCTGTTAATGCTGTGTATTGTTCTTATTAGGCGCTTTCTCAAACATCACATTGATATGACATTGAGTATGCAACTCTTTACGCAGTATATAGCATGTCGTGTCCGCATTCACCACCAGGGCCTACATTGATGTTTAAGGCATAATAAACGAATATGAATACGCCTACTGTAATGCACAAATAAATCTGAGCCCGACACAAATCACCGCCCTGACCAGATTTGGCACACGAGCGAGACACAGCATGATGAGGCGTGACAGAGAATAGCAGAGTGATCAGGCATCACTCTGGTGGGTAGGACAGCCATTTCTCGATCAGGCTCACCACCGTCAGCCTGTCTGACCATGTACTTGCACGCGCCTTACAGCGCCAGCAGCCCATTATGTAGGCATGGGACGTGTAAAAATGTTCCGGCGCCGTGCGATGTAAATGCTAATGTAAAGAACCTGTCTAGAAGATGACGATTCGCTCCGATTGGCGGAAAATTCAGAACCTGCATGACAAAGACCACAACGCAGAGGGCAAGTGTGCTTTGAGTTGAGTCACCCAAGTGATCTCCCACAGAGTGGAACCAGCGCACAGTGTTTTCCTGGGGGCATGATGGCAGGCAGATTCATCAACAACCGAAAAAAGTTCGTCCGAAAGTAGCATTAAGGACACAGGCATTGCACCGCATGGTTGTAGCCACGTCTCTACGAGTAAATGTGGTCCTTGTATTTCAGAGAGACATCAACACGATGATCTGATCATCACGCATTAACGGAGGCAAGACCACCCGAGCGTCACGGCCTCAGCATGAGGAAGATTAGCTGCCAAACAATTCGGGGAAAGGCAGGCGGATGACATGATAATGTGTCTCGCGTCTCCTGTAACGCATCGTGTTTCTAAGCAAACTGGTAGCGCGGAGGATCTCACACGCATGGCATTCAACCCAATCGCTAATATTTGAGAGAAGAACTCCCACAAATCTTGTATAAGAAAGAAAGACTTTCAGTGCCTGGTTTTTCGGCAGCATGAGTTGGTAGTACTTATGTAGAATAGACAACCTTCATTACATTAGGAGGTATTGGTTTAACGACGTGGTAATGCTAAATAACGACTACACTGACGGTGCGCAACATAATCATTACTTAGCATTGCTGTGTCGTTTAATCGGTACCTCCTGCTATATTGAAAGTTGTTCATCATCTCATCATCTCACCAGACTAACAAGCGTTCGCGGCCGGATATATCGGTCCGCCGGGCCAGGCGTTCGGGACTCGCCCTGAACTGTCACTACGTGTGTCCGTTCACCAGTTTCCACCGCCCGTCCACACGATCCACCCGTGTGTGCTGGTGACGGCGTTCGCTGCGTTCGCGTGTGTCCATTCACCAGTTTCCACCGTCCGTCCACACGATCCACCCGTTTGTGCGGGTGACTGCGTTCGCTGCGCACGCTCGTGGTTAACTTGCTGACTGACCTTACGCGTAGCGCCTTACATTTCCCAGGGCATAGCTCCAGACAGGCAGGCAACGCCAGCCAAACAGTGCCACGTACGCCACCGCCAACACAACACGACGACCCAGCATTCTCACACGCAGTGACAGGCAGTAAAACGCATGGCAAACGACAGTAAGCCGTCAACTTCCAAATACGTTCATTTCAGCGAGCAAACTCGTAGTCGCTGCGCGATGCTCAGACACCCCGACTCGCTGTCGCGTGCGCCCGCGCCAGCGCGCCACTGACCTGCCGCCGTCCGTGCTGTTCATATCCGGCTCGAAGTATCCGACCACGTGGTAGCGGCCCTGTCGCCACTGCTTCACCAGGATGATGGAGATCCTCGATGGGCCCACAAACTGGATGTTGCCGGAGACGCCCGTGAAGTTGGTGGCCTTCAGCAGTTCCACAAAGCGCCTGCCGAAGCGGGGTGGCATGTGACGCTCGCTCGCGCATATGCACTCACACGTCATAAAGAAATGCAAGAGCAGGTTCGTAGTCATACGGGCATTTGTAAATGACATTTTAATACGCTAAAGATACGGGAAGCGCCTTGTTAAATCGCTCAAGTGTGAACAGCTCATGTCGAACTAGCTCATTTTACAGCTTACACGTTATTGCACGACCTTGACGAGCAGCCAACCATCGGTGACCGAGCCCCAGCGTTGTCAGTGAAGTGACGGGGTGTGACCGCTGCCACCGCCGCCGGCGCCGGCCCGCGTTACCCGCGGAGACGCGACTGCTCAGCCGCAAGGGTCAATCGCAGTCGCTGTGCGTTTAAACACCACGCAGCTGTGTCTACCGGTGCCCAAACAGTACGCGATGTACCTGCCAGTGCACATGTAACTGATCTCCGATAGAGCCTTGTGTGCTGGTGGATATGACATCATTCTGTACAACCCGATACGCTGTTCCGTTCACAATAATCGCACTGCTGTTGTTTCAGGAGGAATACTTCTATGACCTATACATGTTTCAGTGGATATCGTCATCAAACTAAAGTTAACGGCAGATCGAAGTGGCGTCTTAAGTTAGGAGCGGAATTCTGAGGCGAGACCGGAGCTTCGAAAAGCATGTACAAGATACTCAGCGATCCCTGGACAACACAGGTATCCTTCCGTCTCTTTCAGTCCACCCTCATACGGAAATCGCTGATGAGAAAGATTCGGAGTGGCAGCCGGCACTGAAACCAACGCATTCGGAACTCTTCCGTAATGGAGTATGCTGCTTACAGCAAGCTCTCAGTTCTTGCATTACCACCAGATACTACAGAGACAGCTGTACGTAAATGAACGCGTCCAATTTGGGGACTCATTTACAGATCTCGCTGCCTCTTCCGTTCCTGTATAGCTATGCCTGCGGATCTCAACGTGCGTAGAAACTTGTACATCCTCTTTGACAACCTTTGCCTCGATGCAGGTTTACTGAAAACCATTTCCTTGCCGGGACCTGTATCAGCTGTCGCGGAATTTCTCTTTCTGGAGCCGTTCATCTTTCAGGATGTGCAGAAAGTGATGTGAAATTGAGTGGTGTATATTGCAGATTATCATCTTAGAACATTTCTTCAGCACTATCTTTCTTCTGATATAATGTCATTCTTATCAAGAAATATTGCTAAAATAATACTATCATTGTCATAAAATATCATTCTTATTGAACATCATTCTTACCTAATTTTATTATACGATGTCATTTTTATGGATATAATTCATATATAATACTATGTTATATAGTATTCTGCATCAACTCGACTACCGTCATTGATTGCGCGTTGCCCAAAGCTTTCCGTCGAATGGGACCGACCAAAGGCGAGGGAACGCCTCAGAAAATGGACGTGTAAAAACCAATTTAGCAGTAGTCGCTTCTCTCCATGCATCGCCATCGAGTAATGCTCGGGATTCTGGACAAATGGGTGCCATCGCATGCACAGATCATTCAGTTCCTCTTCACGGTGGGGCCCACCGTGACATACTTGACACGGGGGGCCCTGAATACTGCGCCTCGTGGCCTCCGTAATTTACAACAGTTGCAATCGGCACACCCATAATAATTTAAAGCCCGTACTAGACCGTCCATGTGATACCTGCTTCCCATTTGTTCCCAAGTTGACCATTTTGCTTTTTAACTCGCGAAAGCATCTCACCTGTTCCAGAATTTTTAGGCTACAGACCCGCGTTATCCCCATCCGTATCATACAAAGGGCAGTCCGCAGATCCAGAATGCTTTTGGTATGCTTCCAATGGCTCCAATGTCATTAAATTCCTGTTGATTTTCCTCTGTTTCCGTGACAACTTCTCCATATAATAAGAGGCCCTTAGCAACTTTCCAGAAAGGCCCACCGTTTAGAATGTTTGCAATATTCAGCTGCAATTAACTCATGCTGCGGCCGCTCAAGTACCATCTCTGATAAATAAATAAATAAATAAATATATATATATATATATATATATATATATATTACGAGACCTCTCGATTTGCTGGGACGGTCAACGATGACAGGTCAATCCTATCGCGCTGCGGTTGCCAGCTCTTCATATAAGAAATAAATTGCGTGGTCCATTCACTAGAGAGCAGTAGACTTGCGCCGGCGGGTATTCCCTACACGCATCACACAACTTGTGTGGCCCAGGCAAGAATCAACGCGGAAATTGAAATCGCCTCTTTGATTACGCCCTGTCGTTCAGCAAATAACGAACATGCCGTTGAATGCTGATAACATGGGGCGCGGATGGCTTTGTCTGCGGTCCGTTTGACGTTATCTGTGGTCGGTATCATATCATCTGTGTGTCCATGTGATGTTGCCTGCCACCGGTGCGACATCGTCTGTGGTCGGTATGACGTTCGCTTTAGTCCGTATGGCATCACCTGTGTGTCCGTATGACGTCAACTGTGTGCCCGTATGACGTCAACTGTGGTCTGTGTGACAGAGATATTCAGCGCGATTGTGGCATGCTGGGCTTGATTTGATGAGCACCAGTGTTGCACACTTCAACTCTATGCAAGAACGCGACATCATAGGCACTTTGGCACTGGTATTCAAGTTACCACCATCCAAACTATGACCGAAACCCCAGAAGGACCCTACCATCCTCTCCCGTAGCGAAGGCGGAAAATGACCGGCTCGCCAAGAGAAAGAGCCGACTGACAATGCGGAGAAACTTTACCCTGCCTGTAGCATCAGCAACGCCGAATCAGAACATCCGAGTCCATAAAACGCAGCATTTTTTGAAACTCATCGGATTTCGTTGTCATTTTGCTCTAATGAGAGTTTTTCTGTCTCGATCTGTGATGGTCTCGATCGATTTTAGGATGGCATCTAAAAGCGATGAGCGTAGTTTCACATTCTGGCCTCTGACGGGGCTCCTGCGGGGTTTGCCTCGCACTTGTTTTGATTGCTGATAGTCACGTTGATGATATCGCCTCGCGAATGATTCAGTCCATATCCTTCTGAGTTCACTTGATTCATCTGATTTGTCACGGGTGCGGTTCGCTGTCCGGCTCACCTGTCACAGGGCGGCCGTCCAGTGGAGCAGAGCTCCACACAGGGTAAGAGCGGCACCGGTCGACCGGTCGGCGAGCAGGCACGACCACCACGAGCAGGCACGGCCGCCACGGGCAGGCACGGCCGCCACGAGCAGGCACGGCCGCCACGAGCAGGCACGACCGCCACGAGCAGGCACGACCGCCACGAGCAGGCACGACCACCACGAGCAGGCACGACCCCCACGAGCAGGCACGACCGCCACGAGCAGGCACGGCCGCCACGAGCAGGCGCGGCCGCCACGAGCAGGCACGACCGCCACGAGCGTGCTCGAGTCGCCCAGCACAGAGACCGGAGTGACACTCACGCGGTGGTGGGTACCGTGTGGAAGTCCTGAAACCGGGACGGCTTCTCCCTCAACAGCTTGTCCAGCGCAAAGGCATACGTCCAGACCGCGTCGTAAGCGTAGCCGGCGTAGTCTGACTCGTCCACCGGGAACTGCCGATGGGAGAACGTGCTGGAGTACATCCTCCAACAGCGCTGGACGACTGGGCATCACAAAATGACGATGATCAGAATGGCTGGACAGCTGTCATCCAAACCACAGGATATGTAAACATGCGTGATCGACCAGCTACTTTCACGACACGGCAATGACTAGGGGCGTAAACAGTGTGTGCATTAGTACAGGCTGAGTACGTGCATTGCCGATTATAGCAAGATTTCGACAACAAATTGCTTCACAAATGAGCGCAAAGGGGATTTATCATCTCGAACAGAGCATAAACATGCCATGACAACGTTATACTATAATGCACGGCTGTGTGCTAGACCAAGTGCATCAGGCCGGGTCGCTGCACGCAGTATCGATTCACACGCCCACCCGTAAGCTCGTCTTGACGCAGAGACGACGGTACTGCTGCCGCAAACTCAGCTCGGCGCAGAGACGACGGTACTGTGCCGCAAACACACCTCCACACAGGGACGGTGATACTGCTGCCGCAAACTCACCTCCACACAGAGACGACGGTACTGCTGCCACAAATTCATCTCGGCGCAGAGACAGTGGTACTACTGCCGCAAGCTCACTTTGACACAGAGACGGCGGTACTGTTGCCGCAAACACACCTCCACACAGGGACGTTGGTGCTGCTGCCGTAAACTCACCTCCACACAGAGACGGCGGTACTGCTGCCGCAAACTCACCTCCACACAGAGACGGCGGTACTGCTGCTGCAAACTCACCTCCACGCAGAGACGACGGCACTGTTGCCGCAAACTCACCTCGGCACAGAGACGGCGGTACTGCTGCCGCAAACTCACCTCCACACAGAGACGACGGTACTGCTGCCGCAAACTCACCTCCACGCAGAGACGACGGCACTGTTGCCGCAAACTCGCCTCGGCACAGAGACGGCGGTAAACTGGCTGCCACAAATTCATCTCGGCGCATGAGGACAGCGGTACTACCCGCCGGCAAGCTCACATTTAACACAGAGACGACGGCACTGTTGCCGCAAACTCAACTCCTCCACACAGAGACGGCGGTACTGCTGCCACAAATTCATCTCGGGCGCAGAGACTGCGGTACTACCGCCGCAAGCTCACTTTAACACAGAGACAGGCGATACTGGCTGCCGCAAACTCACCTCGCAACAGAGACGGCGGTACTGCTGCCGCCACTGGCCAACCGTGATGCCCCTCTTGCATGATGTCCGAGTCGTTGGCGAAGTAGGCGTGAGAGAGAGCCAGGTGTCCATCAAGCGCCTGCCGAGAGCCGTGAGTCACCGGTCACTTCTCTCCTGCTCCCCCGCGCCACACGCAGACCGCAGCCTCCCTCTACCTTCTCCGCGCTACTGCAGCCTCACTCCAGCTCCTCCGCGCCACACACGGACTGCAGCCTCTCTCCACACACAGACTGCAGCCTCCTCTGGCTCCTCCGCGCCACACACAGACTACAGTCTCCTTCCGGCTCCTCCGCGCCACACACCGACTACAGTCTCCCTCCAGCTCCTCCGCGCCACACACCGACTACAGTCTCCCTCCAGCTCCTCTGCGCCACACACGGACTGTGACCTCTCTCCACACACAGACTGCAGCCTCCTCTGGCTCCTCCGCGCCACACACAGACTACAGTCTCCTTCCGGCTCCTCCGCACCACACACGAATAGCAGCCTCCCTCCGGCTCCTCCGCGCCACACAAGGACAGCAGCCTCCCTCCGGCTCCTCCGCGCCACACACGGACTGCAGCCTCCCTCCGGCTCCTCTGCGCCACACAAGGACAGCAGCTTCGGTGTGTCGCCTCTCTCGGGGTCAGCCCACCACGCAACCCAAAACGCAGTATTTTATTCTCCCCGTCCCCTACATCGGTCCCCAACACATTGCACAACAAGCCACACCACATTATGTTCAAGCGCCCGTACGTCTGCAGTGGAATCCCCACTAACTGACTTTTCCACTAACATTCGCTATATCTTATCGTAAAACGTCATGGTGCAGTTCTACGAGTGTAGTTTGCTAGGTCAATCCGTGGCAGGCTAGTTCATGTGCGCGTGAAAGTAAATATTTGTGTAATAGGAAGCCTGTTTTATCTTTCGAAAACTCGCATGGCCTATCTCACGGCCCATTAAAGATATCACGATGACCGTCACAAAAATAATGCAGCTTAACAAGCGTCATAAGGTTGATGGGTTGCTAAGGCTGTTTTCTTTTCGCAAAATCCGTAATTCCAGAAATAGCGTGGGTGCTGTGCACCGTATGACCCGATCTAACACGCCGTACGACCTGATTTCACATACTGCATGGCCCAATTTTACGTGTTGTGTGACCCGATTTCACATGTCGCATGTCACACCGGTCGCCGCTGTTACCGGTGATCCAAGATTTGGGATATTCAGTGCGCCGAGGGCTGAATCGTCTACGCAGCTTTTGCAACTTGCTTAAATCAAGCGCAACTTTCTTCTGTGTAACAGCATAACAGCCCTGAAGAAAGAAATCAATCATAGCCACATGATGCAGCTTCACGCGGGCTATTTGATGTCCTCACTTGGTTCTAATAAGCGCATCCTTCGAGGAATGAGAGGGGTACCTGTGAGGCTGCTCGTCCGACGACGCTGAGCGGAACGCTCGCCTAACGAGGGTGAACGGCTCACTCGTCCGACGAGGGCGAGCAATACGCTCGTCTAACGAGGGTGAACGGCTCGCTCGTCCGACGAGGGCGAGCAGTACGCTCGCCTAACGAGGGTGAACGGCTCGCTCGTCCGACGAGGGCGAGCAGTACGCTCGTCTAACGGGGGTGAGCAGCTCGCTAGTCCGACCAGAATGCGTGGGGTTCATAAGGGACTGAGCTTAACCACAAGGCCCTTTTTAAATGCGTAGAAAGCTACGGAATATTATTTATTATTAGCCATTTACGCTTCGCCTTTCTGTTCGTCCTTTTCTCTTAACACGCGCTTGAGTGGGGGTCAAATTGACGCCTCCGATGACTTTTCCAGAATGGTTTCCAAACGGCACAGCGCAGCCGTGCTAAATTTTGCATAGCTGCAGACAATTTAATAGCGGATCATGTGGTATCAAAAATTTCGAGGTACCTTGTGAGGTCGCTGACCCGTGGCGGGTCAAAGTCAGGCCATAGTTTCAGGGAAGTCAAATTCTAGGAAATCGTTTAATCTGATGCGAGAAGAGTGTGCTAGACGAAGCCATACATTTTTTATACTTTCTTAGACAACGCAACAATCGAATGAACAAATTGTATTGATCTAGGGTGGCTATGAAGATCAGACCATGATCAGCACCAATCTGTTTTATTTATTTAGGGCTTACTGTATGAGGAGGTTTCCGGTGTTTATTTCGAATGCACTGATAACAGGAACCGCATTATCTTCCACAGACTTCTTAAACATCAAAATAGGTCAGTGGCCTCAAATAACCCAGGTCAATATTTTGCTTTTAAGAGCATACTGCCTAACGTAATTTTTGTTGCTCATTCAAATGCAAGCCCCAAGGCAAAACCTCAGAATAGTCTTGTACGATTTTGGTCACCATGGCCTTCAAAGGGTCAAACACTGACCTTATATGAGCATGCTACCTTTCGCTTAGATCAATTATCTAGGTTCTAGGGGTACCTTGAAAATCAGCCTACAATTTGACCTTGTTTGTCCTTGTTCGACCCGAAAGTCATGACCTACAAGCCTCAAACACGGACCTAAGTGAGTTCACGTACGCGTTAACACACCCCGTGAATTCGGTGTCTCTAGCTCGTTCACTTTCTGAGGTCTCAGGGGGTCAAACTGACCCCTCCCCCCGAGCGAAGTGTAGGTGACCAACCGGTCACCTGGGAACGTGTTAACGTTCCGGGAACATTGCTGCTCGTGTCCCACGCTGTCCAGGGGCTATGTCCGTCATGGCAGCGGAAGTTGACGAACAAATGTGAAATAGGCAGCACGTGCGTCGTTGGGGACTCGTGAAGTGCTGATCCGAACCTATTCTTCTTTTAACTTCATCTTATTCAATTTTTGCACAATTTCGTCTGCATTCAAGGACGCAGCGGCGCAATCTATTCTTAGATTCGCTGCTGTCAACGCACAAAGGAAATACAATGCCCACTTACCTGCATCATTTCATCAGGTTTACACGTGAAGTTCTTGCCATTGGTTTGGTTGTACCAGTCAGGTGAAAACCACGCCGGCAGGAACCATACGTAGCCCTGAAATGGCCCCAGGCGTCAGGAACGCATACGTAGCTCTGAAACGGCCCAAGACATCAGGGACCCACACGCAACCCTGAACGGCCCAAAACACCAGGGAACCGCACATAGCCCCCAAAACGGCTCAGGGCATCAGAGAACTACAAGTAATCATGAAGCGGCTCAAGGCAAGGGAACGCACGTAACCCTGAAGCGGCCCACCTGTCTGGCAGTCATGTTCTTGCGATAGGCCTCGCATATGACGGCTCGGGCGACGATTTCGTACAGGTCAGCGATGATGATCCTCGCGTTCTTCTCTCGCAGATCCGTCAGGTACTGGAACACAGCATGTCGTCAGCTGCAGGACAGCACAGCCAACAGCAGGGCCTGGCCTGGCGGGCGCGGGACGCAGCGCCCGGCAAGGACGGTCCAGTGACCCGGGTATAGGCCAGGGACCATTGGTCAGCTGGCGGCTTTCACTTGCGTGCCGTGCGCCTCCTGTCTGTGACGTCTCCCCCGTCCCGCCGCCCGTCAGTGTAGCCGCATGCGGGCGTGCGCGCTCGGTGGGTCGGCGAGGCAGGCGATCCGCCCGGCTACCGGCGGCCGCCAGGAAGCCAGACCGGAGCAGCCAATCGTCCCCAGCAGCGGCGCTCAGCGGCGGCCGACCGGGCTCGCCCGGCGCTCGGCGGCGGCCGACCGAGCCCGCCCGGCGCTCGGCGGCGGCTGACCGAGCCCGCTCGGCGCCCGCCGGCGGCCGACCGAGCCCGCCCGGCGCTCGCCGGCGGCCCCCGAGAGTCGGCGCTCGCGGCATCGACGGCGGCGTCGCCGACAGTTCGTCCACGGTCAGCACAGACACTGTTCTCGGTCACAAAGATAAATGTCCACAGACGTGCACGCATAATCATGATAGTGGTTTACTAACACGATTATTGGAACGTTAACAACATGAATGGAAAAAATTGTATGTATTCTAGTGTTCTGTAATTTTCGGGAGAGCATTGTTTCTGACCAGGTCTACACGCAGATACAGGCTCCTGGAAAAACGGGAAATGAAAAAAGCCAGTTCCAAATAAGCTGGCAGAGTAGAGACCATCATCATGAACAGACACCAAAACACAATTAATCACCCCTCAGCCCCAGCCGACACCTGAGCAAGCGTAGCAGGCCTGCCGCGGCCGCAGAAGGCCGGCAGAGGTCAGCAGGTGGCCTCCGGGCCGCTGGACCATGTGGGCAGCGGCCGCGACAGTGGGCGGACGGCACCGGCTTATCCCACTGCGTCGTTGGGGTCTGGATCGGCGCTTACGCTATAAATACGGACCTGGACGCGATGCACAGGCGCAGCGCTAAGCACAGAACTCCCACGAGCGCCCCCAAATGCCACCGGCACGAGGCGGGACTGCGCGATCGATGCAGCCCGCGCAGTGCTACGGGCATTGCTGACAAAACATCACACCTCGTCCTGTGCAGTGCCTGCCCGTTTTGCATAATTCGGCGCGGCGTGCTGGCGTGCCAATCTGCCGCGCTTTCAGTCAAGCCTGGCCTGCCAGAGCGGCGTCGTGGCTGGGGCCGGGGCCAACGGCGCACGGAGTCGCGCAGCGCGAGGCCTCTCACCGGCTCCATGTTCTCCTTGTCCCGAGGAATCTTTCTGTTGGCGATGAAGGTGACGCCCGACCCCTGCAGCATGTCGTGCATGATGGAGATGTACTCGGTGTACTTCTGACCCGCCTCGGTCAGCGACGCCACCCGCTTCCACTGGAGCTGATGGAGCAGCTGCTTGTAGACAAATCTGGAAACCAGTCATCGCTTACTGGGCTGATGCGAACAACGACTATCGTCCACCGTTAAACCGGAATGCAACTGGGGTCTTCCCTTCTAAAATTATCGGGCAGCGAGATGTAACTCTAATACATCAGCTAAATACATGAGCTGTGTTGTGACGCCGCGCCTGGCTTCCCGGGACCGCTCAACGCCCCTGGCAGCAATGACGCCGGACGGTGGCCAGTGACGTCCCTGAACGGCAGCTGGAGACACCACCGGACACACAACAGCGCCGCCGCGCGAGGGTGGCGACTCGGTTCCGGCTCGGATCCCCTCCTGGACCGGCATTGGTATGCGGCACACGCCGGTGCGCGCGGGCTCTGATTGCAGCCGCCGGCGCGCTGTCCGGCACGCGGCTCTCATCCCGAAATGTATCCCCAGTACGCGACCTCTCAGCGTCCATCAGGCGGCGTGGTGTCGCCGCGAAACCTTAATGCGCACGTATGCACCGGAGTTATTTACTAGTCTCGTGCTCTGACCCAGATCGGGTGAAAAGCGCGGCTGCATGTCGAAGCATTTCCCAGCATTTACGCATTGATTTTCACAGGAACGACGTTGCTTAGCCAGACATAACATGAGCATCTTGCACGTGCAGCTTTGGCCGACAATGTAAGATGAGTAAAGAGCTTCGGAACGTATTTTTTTTAAAAAATTCGCTGCCCGGGTAGGTCACGTTGGAGAGAGAGAGAGGGAGAGAGGAGAGAGAGAGAGAGAGAGAGAGATAGAGATATAGAGAGAGATCTAGAGAGAGAGCGCTATCTCGCCTCTCTCATATCGTCTCGCTCTCTCCTTCCTCGAGAGAGAGAGAGAGAGAGAGAGAGAGAGAGAGAGATGAGAGAGAAGAGAGAGGAGAGAGAGAGAGAGAGAGAGAGAGAGAGAGAGAGAGGAGAGAGGAGAGGGTAACGAGCAGATGAGAGAGAGGAGGGAGAGAGAGAGAGAGAGAAGAGAGAGAGATGAGAGAGAGACTGAGAGAGAGAGAGAGAGAGAGAGAGAGGAGAAGGAGAGGGAGAGAGAGAGAGCAGAGAGAGAGAGATGAGAGAGAGAGAGGAGATGAGGAGAGAGAGAGAGGAGAGGTGGGGGGGGGGGAGAGAAGAGACCTTTACAAGTATTTTTGTTTAGTTGTCCTCGGGGTACAAGGGACTGTCAGTTTCCTCCCCTGATAATCAAAGGCCAATTCGGCAGGGAAAGCAACAACTGCACCTCAGAGGACCCCAACCTTTACCTTATATTGCCGGCAGCTCCAGACAGCAGCCAGTTGGAATCACCTGCCTATCCCTCTCACCGTTCCGGGCGGAAGCACGGTGGGACCTCCTGCCCATCCCTCCCAGCAGCGCCAGACACAGCAGCCGGGTGGAACCTCCTGCCCATCTCTCCCAGCAGCTCCAGACACAGCAGCCGGGTGGGACCTCCTGCCCATCTCTCCCAGCAGCTCCAGACACAGCAGCCGGGTGGGACCTCCTGCCCATCACACCCAGCAGTTCCAGACACAGCAGCTGGGTGAGACCTCCTGCCCATCTCTCCCAGCAGCTCCAGACACAGCAGCCGGGTGGGACCTCCTGTCGAGCAGGTGACACAGCACGAGAGACACGTAGCCGATCACCCACCTGAACTGTTTGTTTTCGCCGATGGTTCTGAAGAAGTACGGGTACTGGCTGCGGTTGGAGAACAGCACGCCCTCGGCGCTGTACGAGATCACCACCACCCGGTAGTGTCGGGACACACCCGCTATGGGCTCCACCGTGTCCGAGCAGGCCGGCCCTGCCGGCGGCGGCAGCGCGTCAGCGGCAGCGAGCGCCGCTGCCGGACGGCAGGGCTCATCAGTCCTTCTCCGGCGGAGGCACGGGACTTACAGAGGTCGGCCTGATGTGGAACAGCAGCGCGGCACATCCGCGACATTTTGAGGGGTTTTCATGAAACGAGGAAGTACTTTGAGAATTCAGGTATCGAACGTTACCAGCCCACAAGTCATCACATCAAAGCGTGAAGGTTGAGATACACTTCCAAATTCACTGCCTTATATCCTCTATGAGATGCAGAATGGCACCCATTATTTCATGATGGCAGCATATCAATCCTCAGCTCTAGTGTGAGCAATGCTTCTATCCAACGGGGAGCACGCTGTTGAGCTGACAGGAACAAATGAACCCGACCGCTCGTTCCACGGAGGACCTACACGAGACTGCACGAACTACGGCAGTCAGATGCATTCCATTACATTACCGGAAGGTACTCGCATTCCTTGGGCCCCACTACCCGGGCCCGTGCTCGCCTGTCAGATCAATGCCCGCTGACCCAGGGGAAGACCTCACCGGAGCTGTGCTCCTCGCATTCGGAAGCGACATGGCCAACCCGTCCCACCTGCCGCGCGCGCGCTGTAGAACGTGGAACACGAATCTGCTCAGGTTGCCGTGGGCCATACTGAGGCGCGTACGCGGTACCGGCACGGGGACGCAGCAGCGCCGGAGCCACCTCTTCGGCAGCCGCGCGTCCCAGAGTCACAGCGCATGTTTACTGCCCGCTGCTGCTTTGAGTTCCGGCAGCAGCAAAAGTGGTGACGTGCTTGCCCAGTTGTCGCACCAAGTTCACTTACGTTCACTTGCCTGCCTCTACTTTGGATGGTAATTCAAAGAGCCAAAAACGCACCGCACACCTAAACACACAACGGTGTGGACCGTGCATAACCCATGATCTCATTCGGAACGTATCGAAGCAGGCGCGTGTAACACATATGAATATGTGGCCTGGCAAGAGGGGTGGCTTTGATGAGGTGCACTATTCCAGCTACAGGAACGCCACGGCACGGCTGACTGCTCCAGCCTGACCGTGGCGTCGCCGTCCGTCGACGGTCCACCCGCGTCCGGTTCGCCCACCTAGTATGCCAGCCATGTGCCGGTGGGTCGGCATGCGGACGTAGTCGATGAAGGTCTTCATGACCATGTCGGCGCTGCACTGGCCGTCGTGGGCGTTCAGCGTCAGGTCATAGTCCCGCAGCACGCTGGAGTTGGCGTTTACCGCTTTGACGGCCATCAACACGGCTGCCGATCAGAGGCAGAGGAGAGGCTGTCAGAGGCGGAGGAGAGCCCGTCAGAGGCAGAGGAGGGGCGGTCAGAGGCAGAGGAGATGCGATCAGAGGCAAACGGGAGCCGGTCAGAGCCAGAGGGGAGCCGGTGAGAGGCAGAAGGGAGCCGGTCAGAGGCAGAAGGGAGCACGTCAGAGGCAGAGGAGAGCCGGTCAGAGGCAGAGAAGAGCCCGCCAGAGGCAGAGGGGAGCTGTTCAGGGGCAGAGGGGAGCCGGTCAGGGGCAGAGGAGAGGCGGTGAGAGGCAGAGGGAAGCCGGTGAGAGGTAGAGGGGAGCCGGTCAGAGGCGGAGGGGAGCCCGTCAAAGTCAGAGGAGAGCCTGTCAAAGGCAGAGGAGAGCCGGTCGGAGCAGGAGACCGGTCAGAGACAGAGGAGAGCCCGTCAGAGGCAGAGGGGAGGGGTTCAGGGGCAGAGGGGAGCCGGTCAGAGGCAGAGGAGAGGCGGTCAGAGGCAGACGGGAGCCGGTCAGAGGCAGAGAAGAGCCCGTCAGAGGCTTAGGGGAGCCGGTCAGGGGCAGAGGAGAGGCGGTCAGAGGCAGACGGGAGCCGGCGAGAGGCAGAGGGGAGCCGGTCAGAGGCATAGGGAAGCCCGTCAGAGGTAGAGGAGAGCGTGACGAGCGCCAGCAGTCGGGACGGCCGGGGGGGGGGGGGGGGGGGGCACTGTGCGCGGGCACTCACAAGGCCACCGCAAGACTGTCAACCACGCGCTGCAAGCCTGTTCGAGTTTTCCCGTCAGGTGTCACGCATCAAGGCCAATATTAACTCGCTCCTGTGCGCCGAATGTTCCTCCTGGGGAGCCAGATGTGACCGGGTAGCAATGCCCAGATATCCTTAGACTAGCACGGTGTGTTTCACCTCCACTGCACGTGTTATACCCACTGTAGCGACACATATCACCGGGGTAAGTGTCGGAGCTTGCCAGCAAACAGCCACACCGCGCCCTGCCGTCTCCAGCAGTCGCTTTAGAGGTGCGTGCGCGCCCACCTGGTATCACGCCCTTGGCCTTGTAGTTGGGCCCGCCTATGGGGAAGATGCCCCCGATCCAGATCTTGGGACGGCCGACCGGCTTCCAGCGGTGCTCCCAGACGTCCCGATGGGCCCGCAGCCAGTGGCAGGCCACCTGGCGATAGCTGAACTTGGGGTGCTGCAGCTGCAGCCGCAGCAGCGCCGTGTACTGCTCCTGGTCCAGGTGGAAGCCTTGCAGCGCCTGCAGACGCCACCCGGAGTCAACGGGCGCCGGCCACAGGCGGGCACACGCGGCATGGGACGGACATGGGGCGGGACGGAACGGACATGGCGTGGGGGAACGGACATGGGGCGGCACCCCACGGACAGTGGCAGCACGCTACACCCAGAACGGACTCGTGCGGGTCACGAAATCAAGCGCAAATGTAATAAGGGTGGGTTGGTCATTTCGACAGCATTGCAGTGAAGAAACGGACCGTACAATGAACAAATACATTTCAACTTGTTACAAGAAAATACGGCCAGCACGTTGCGTCCAATGTGTCGTCAGCGTTGAACTATGTCCATTGTACCATCGCGGGCGGGCTCTTCCCCCCCCCCCCCCGCCCCCTCCAGCGCTCTGCGCCTGCCTGAGTCGGACAGAGGCCGCGTGCCGAACCTTGTCAGCCAGGATGGCGCTGTCCCTGAGCTTGTTCCACGCCAGCTTCTTGAGATGGCGGGTGCCAGTGAAGCAGAAGGCTCCGTTCAGGCAGGCTGGGAAGGCCACCTCCGCGTACGTCGTCTTCAAGGTCAGGAGACTGGGCGTGTAGTGCACGAACAGCACGGGCCTGCGACGGGGAGGCGGGGCGCGGCGTCGGACGTCGGGCAACTACGTGATACAATCACGAGAGGTGGCTTGAATGGTGGTTGTCGTCGCCACACCTGCTATCGCTTTTCCAATCCCCTTGCCAGTCATGAACTCGGGGCCTGCGTGGACTTCGGAGCAACAGGGACCTAGGCATGGTGAGCGAAGGTACGTGGCAGCGTTCAACGGAAGGTGCCCTGTCGACAGGTGTTTCAAGATGAAACGGCTGAGTCGAATATGACAATGAAACATCGAAATGTCACAGTGTACACATGTTTATATATATATATATATATATATATATATATATATACATATATATATATATATATATATATATATAGTTTAATAATGTGATGGCTAAATAAATAAAGCGCAAGTAATTAAACAGTTATAGTGATAATGATCTTGGTTTCAAGACGGTTTAACAGCTGCGGTCATTTTACACCCACTTAAGTTCGAAAGCATGCAAAACAAGGCATCAGTAAATAGGTCACCACCCCACACCTAGCAGCCAGCTGCAGTGTGATCATAATATATAATAATCGCCGATAGAAGAACGGGGCCCTAAACCTCAGGAGCACAAGACCTGCTGCGGCCAAAAGTGTCCACAAGCAGCGACAATGGTGGCCAGGATAATTGCAAAAGACAACAGTGTTCTCCATCCAGCCGTACATCTGGGCCGATGATCCACCGCAGGATGACTCCAATGCTGACTGCATGGACAGCAGGGTCAGATCACAGCAAAGCGCCGCATTCTGGGGGAGCCTGACCCAGCGCGGCTGAAGTGCATGGTTCACATAAGAGCGTCAGCAGAGGCGTCACCGCCAGCGGCGAGGCTGTCCCTACCTGTCCGCCTCCGTTCTCAGGGTGACCAGGCGGGCCAGGTGGTCGCCGACCCAGTACACCCGCACCTGCAGCTGCAGCTCCACGATCTGGTCCAGCACGAAGTTGGCCTCCTCTAAAGAACGATGGCCGGTCGTGAGGGACGCGCGAGGCCGAGGATGTCTGGCCACCGGAATTGGAGGCGAACTTGTCCGAACAAGCGAGCAGTACGTAGTCACGGCAGACCACCAAAGTTTCATACGTTCGCACAGTCTTCTACACATTGGGGCAACAACTGAACAAACTAATCGGGAAAAATTTCATCGCGGCCAAGAACGGCAAGACACCCGAGTGAAAAGTCACCATCACGGTCGCTGCTTCTATGGTGATGAAAACAAACGAGCCAAGTCCAGCACATGTCATGCGTCGGATACCGTTCCATCATCATTTCAACGTCACTTCAATCATGTTCAGACGTCAGTTCAACAGAGCTTATTCGAAGAACGGTGGCATACGCCAATGTCAGGCGTGCAGTTTTGAACGTGAAGCTTCACCTCCAGGTGCGTGTGTATCTGCGTGCAAGGCTGTGTGCACGCATACGCACATACGCGCTGGTCCGTGCGTAAAGCGTTTGCTTGTAAGCGTGTGTACGTTGTGTGTGCACATGAACGTGAGTGTGTGCAAAGTGCGTGGGTGCATTAATTCGCGTGCGCGTACACGCGTATAGACATGCGTGTGAGCGAGCGGGCGAGCGAGCGCGTGTGCGTGCGTGCGCGCTCGTGCGTGAGGCGCGACGTCACGTCAGGAGCGGAACTCACCGGGCCGCGAGGCCAGCAGTACGGCACAGTGCACCCCCCTGCACCAGGGGGGCACGAACTTCCCGTCCTGGCACGGCGGCGCGTCACAGTGGTACCTGCAGGGGAAATCCGACCACTGGCGTCACCGCGCGCCAGCCGCAGTCCACCCGCGAGAGGTGAACTGATGACGGGGCGGAGAACGGCCTGACACAGCTACCGCTTGTAGCGGACCGGTGACAGACCGGTGAGAGACCGGCAGAGATGAGAGAGCCGGCGCCGATGCTGGTCTGGCGGGGGATGGGAGCACGACCGAGGCCAACCGGCGCCGGTAGGGGTCTGATGGGGGGTGGGAGTACGACCGAGGCCAACGGGCGCCGGTAGGGGTCTGATGGGGGATGGGGGCACGACCGAGGCCAACTGGCGCCGGTAGGGGTTTGATGGGGGGATGGGAGCGCGATCGAGGCCAACTGGCGCCGGTAGGGGTCTGATAGGGGATGGGAGCGCGACCGAGGCCAACTGGCGCCGGTAGGGATCTGATGGGGGATGGGAGCACGACCAAGGCCAACTGGCGCCGGTATGGGTCTGATGGGGGATGGGAGCACGACCGAGGCCAAATGGCGCCGGTATGGGTCTGATGGGGGATGGGAGCGCGACCGAGGCCAACTGGCGCCGGTAGGGGTCTGATGGGGGATGGGAGCGCGACTGAGGCCAACCGGCGCCGGTAGGGGTCTGGTGGGGGATGGGAGTACGACCTAGCCCAACTGGCGCCGGTAAGGGTCTGGTGGGAGATGGGAGTACGGCCGAGGCCAACTGGCGCCGGTAGGGACCTGGTGGGGGATGGGAGCATGACCGAGGCCAACTGGCGCCGATAAGGGTCTGGTGGGGGATGGGAGCACGACCGAGGCCAACTGGCGCCGGTAGGGGTTTGATAGGGGACGGGAGTACGACCGCCGAGTGACTTCACCATCGGAGGGCAATGCAAAGTAGTGGCTCTATGAATAATTTCTTCATATGAGAAGCCATGGGAGGAGATCGCCAGTAGTGTAAGGCGCTCTTCTTCTAACAGGCCGGGACTCAAACGGGCTATTTTGTGGGGGAAGGTTCTGTCACGTTAGCTCTCGAATCAACATAAAACCTGCGCTTGTCAGTCACAATATGCAAACATAATTTGCGTGGCTCTTTAAGTGCACACAGGCACAACAGCAAGGTAATCAAAAATGTAAATATTACCTGAAAATTATCGCGGTAGTGACAAGACGTGAAACAATATTCATTTTTGCCACCTTGTTTTCGCTTGCACTCTGATTATCTGTCATCGTTTCTGGGGCAACCGTACACACGTCGAGGACTCAGGAATCACCGCATGTTTAAACTCAGTTGTGAAACTGGCTGGCCAGACATGCGAGGTATTTCAGTATTGCTGAGCATTTTCAGAACTTTGGCCTGTCCCTTCATGCACGTGAGAGCAGGATGAACCTCAGCTGTATCAGGTTTCGCTCACCGCCGCGCAGGCAGCTGGTGGGCGGCAGTTCCGAACGAGCGGCGCGAGGCAGCTCTACTACACTGTCACTATTTCCGTCTGCACTTGGGGTTAAACGGGGATGGGGTTAAATGCGTTCCAAGCAATGACAAAATGAACGGTCCAGCAGGTAATGAAGGCGTTATAAATGTGAGCACCTCCGTGCGGTTGTAATTCGTGGTTGGGAATGAGGATGGACGAGAAGAAGATGGCGGGTTTACCCTTCCCAGCTTTGTCACGTTTAGAATTAAGAATGCGACAGCGGCCTTCGATAGGGACTGAACTGGAACACTGAAGTGGTGGACTACCCGTACTATTTTTAGGCGAAACCCTCGATACAAGACTGGTTGAACAACATAATGCAGCGTCAAGTCTGGCAGACACCAAAGGCACACTCCTATAGCTTACCCTGAAGTCCCTACATATATGCATGCTCAAATGGGCAACAGCCGCGGACCTTGCGCTCCTGTGATCAGCACGCCACGTACGACTACGCCGCATACGCCACATACGGCTATACAGCGTGATATCACTCTCCTGCAATTAGTTCAGTTGGACCATAGCTCACCTGTGAGACTCATCCATCAGGTTGTGCTCCAGGCTGGCCAGCTCGGTCTGCGTATAGTTGAAGATCTCGATAGCTTCCGAGCGGGTGAACGCTCTCCAATGATCCAGCACAACTGAGTGTGAAATAGCTACCTGCTCCTGGAAAAACCAGCCCATCCTGCAACAGAGCACAGGGCAAGCGTCGACAAAGGTAGGTGCCTGGGCGGAATGGGTGTGTCAGAAAGCGTCTGACGCATTGGCGCCCGAAAGTGGCGCAGGCATGACCTTGTGAGCGTGGAAGAGCCTCTCATTTCATGCATATGTCACGGCCGGTTTTCCACAATTTCGCGCAGGTGATTTCACCCAGGTCTTTCTAGCGATGCATCGTCCATCACCACACGAGACACGTCAGGACTGAGGTCAGTCCTGATCCCGGCTCACATAGAAGGTCGAACACGATCTCCATTCGGCATTAAGATTGTGAGTGACAACAACGCCAACCCAACACTCCACTGACGCTTCTGATCTGACCCGGATCCGAACTCAGACTTGTGCCCGACTCCCAACGCTACTGAAAGCTCGGAATCGACACATAGCAGCTCTGACAATCCGACGGTCTCTTAAGGGAATTGGACGCGCCGGTTTGTTTCACCGGAGTCCATTTTACAGACAATGTGCAAAAAATAATGCAATCTATGCACTATGTACACATACAAAGCTCCATGCCCCGCTTACCTGATGACGGACCACTGCTCCTCTTGTGAACGATCCCCGCTCCCCTGGCGACTGACCCTGCTCACCTGGTGACGAACCCCCACTCACCAGGTGACCGAACCCCGTTCCGCTAGTGACTGGACTCCGCTCCCCTGCTGACCGACTCCCGCTTCCCTGGTGACTGACCCTGCTCACCCCGGTGACTGACGCCTGCTACCCCGGTGGCGGGCCCCCGCTCCCCTCGTGACAGACTCTCTCTCCCCTGCTGACAGACCCTCGTTCCCCTGGTGGCGGACTCCCGCTGACCTGCTGACGGCCCCCCGCTCCCCTGTTGACTGATCCCCGCTCACCTGCTGACGGGCCCCCGCTCCCGTTACCTGAACCCCGCTCACCTGGTGACGGCGCCCAGCGGGCCGGCGTACATGACGTTATGCAAGAGCTCGGCATCCTGGTCGAGCTCGTAGCCTGGCGGCGCCCACGCCTCCAGGTTGATGGTGGCCGGCGGCTCGTGCAGCGGCAGCTCGGTCCGGTCGGACGCCAGCAGCACGTCCTCGTCGTTACAGCTGTCGGCAGGGGAGAGCCGCTGCTGCAGACGGCACGCGACCGATGGCGCCGAGACACGCGGGTGCTGCCGTCGGCCGAGCTTGAGCGCAGCCTGTGCAGCGACTTGGCCCGATTCGCTCGCACCACGCACCGATTATGTTATCGCGCTACGTTAGCTCCGTGATGCATGCTGGCGGTCAAAGGTGACGTCAAATAACACTCGGTCATTTGCCTCGAGAAAAGTTCGTGCCGATAAAAATGATCAAAATAGACCTTGTAGCTAAAAAATATGGTGATCAGTTCATTACCCATCCCAGCGCATGTCATTCTTGCTCATGATGAGATGACTAGCTGTCGATGCTTCGATTTCCTTTTATGCCACGCTGCTGATATGCGCAGTTTACTATGATATGCATGGAAATTAGAACCATCACGATCTAATGCCGCCAACTTGGCAAGAAAGGCCAGGGAACATTTGCATTCCAAAAAAGCTGATAGGGAGCCATATGGACGCATGTTCTTATCGAGGCTCCACGGCGCCCTCAGCTGCTGCGACTATGTGGCGTCGCGCACCCCCTCACCTTGGCAGGAAGGGCAGGTATCGCGCGAGCCACCGCTGGCCAATTCCCTTAGACTTACGATGACAGTGATGCCCCTAGGAGCGTCCAATTTCCATGTTGAGATGACAAATATGTGGCGAGGGAAGCCATTTACATGCGCAGTCCTTCGCCGTAGCAAAAGTTCATTCGTCGTGTTATGGGCACGTGCAGGAGGACCAAAACGAGCCCTAATAACATTTCAGCGGAGCAAACTAGATAACACACGTTTGATGCAAGCGTCTTTTGAAGCTCTCCGTTAGCCACATTACGCCTACGTAGCAAGAGCGTCAACGAACACGTTACTTTGTAGAATGTCGAAGGCAGTGGTAAAACCCAAGATGTGGAAATTGAATATTACGACCCGTTGATCTATCGATATTCAGCTTTATGCTTCTCATACATTTATTTTCATTTAAAAAACGACCTAAACAATAAAAGCTCGTAAGGAAGTTATGAAAAACGAAACAAATAGCTTTTGGTAGCCTCCACTCTATCATACGGATGGAGCGCTTCCAGCCGTACGTGTACGAGAAAGGCAAGGCAGAGACCACTGTCCCTCCCCATCTGGGGGGAGCTGAGACGGGCTGACAGGGGCTGAGGGGCGGGGGTCTCCCTCTTATCCGTGTACTCCAGCATTCATAATGTTGTCATTCGTACAAGCTGTACCCCAGAACAAAATTTGTTTTCTCCGCCAAACAATTTTTGGAATGCTCCTTTGATCTTGTTTAAAGCACCCAAACAACAGTTTTTGACACAGCAGTTCTCAACCGATGCTTCGTGGCACGATTTCTGACACAAAATCCCTTTTCTGAATCTTATTATTTGCATCCCACGTATGTGACACTGGAGAGAGCTAGCCCAGTGTCTTTGAAAAGGTGTGGGAGTATGAGATCCGTGCTTTTTATCCATGTGTCCGTCATCTGGGCACTCAAACACTTTGAAACGGCCCTCGCTGTCATGACCCTCGCAGTGTCGGCCCTCTCTGTGTCGGCCCTCTCTGTGTCGGCCCTCTCTGTGTCAGCCCTCTCTGTGTCGGCCCTCGCTGTGTCGACCCTCTCTGTGTCAGCCCTCTCTGTGTTGGCCCTCTCTATGTCGGCCCTCGCTGTGTCGGCCCTCTCTGTGTCGGCCCTCGCCGTGTCGGCCCTCGCTGCATCGACCCTCTCTGTGCCGGCCCTCTCTGTGTCGACCCTCTCTGTGTCGGCCTTCCTGTCCGCCCGCCCCTGTCTGTCCGTGACAGCTGTGGGCCAGTTTCGTCTGTGTGTCCGTGACGGCTGTTGGCCGCCTCTGTGCGCTGGTGCCGCTTGAGCCAGCGCCGCTGTCACCGCTGGGCGCCGGCTGGCTGGCTGAGTCAGCTGGCGCTCCACAGCCGCCGGGGCGGCCGCCAGGCGGCGCCGCGTGACGCAGATAGTGCCAGCCGGCGGCGGCCGCAGCGCCGCCGCGGCCGATGCCGCTCATTTCCACGAACGACGGGAACATGCCCGGCGCGGTGCACACCTAAGGAGTACATCCGGCAACCCGCGGGTGTGGTGCGCATCGGCAGAGGCCACCCAGAACTTCGGAAGCGAACGATGTTGACCTGCATCTGAAATCTCGTTGTGCTGCATCGCACTCCACTGACAGACGACGACTGTGCTCTTACAGCGTGTGAGTAATGCACCGTTAACTTTTGTGGCGCCAAATCCCGGCTATCTTTGGCGACATGCCTGTCACCCGAACACCAAAATGCTGTCAGCCAGGGTTTTAACGCCAAGGAAAGCCTCAAGTCCGGCCACGAGACTTTATAAGCCCGCTCTCAGGCGGATGCGCGCGCTGGGACCCACCTGGGACACTGGGAGAGGGCCAGGATGTATGCCGTCATGTTGTAGTGGTCCGGCAGGTAGACCAGACGGACGCGAACGTAGCCGAGGACGTCCTCCAGAAACAGCTTGAAGATCCAGGCGATCAGCTGGGAGCTGGGCCGACTCGACACCTGCAGGCGGATATCCAGCTCCTCCTCGTTCCACTGCATGTGTCGCACCGTCGGCGCTGAAGCACACCGGCGGCACAGTGACGTCACTACATCACGCCGGCGTCACGGTGACGTCACTACATCACAACGGCGTTACGGTAACGTCACTCTACATCACACCGACGTCGCGGTGACGTCACTTCGCACAGGCGTCACGGTGGCGTCACTACATCGCACCGGCTCACGGTGACGTCACTTCATCACACCGGCGTCGTGGTGACGTCACCATATCACGCCGGCGTCATGGTGACGTCACTACATCACACGGGTGTCACTGTGCCATCACTTCACCACACAGACGTGGCGGGAGTGTCACAGCAACACACGGATGTCACGCCACTCAAATACACGAACGTCAAGTAAACCCACCGAAACACAAAACCGTCAAAGTGATGCCAATCCAACACACAGACGTGACATTAACATCGCCGGCCCGCCACAGCGCTGACCAGAAGTCACGCAAGCTCTGTCCCATTACCAGCCGACGCGCGGGCGTGCCATGCATAAAGACAATGTTGCTGAAAACGCCTGACCGGCCGCAGGATTTCACAAAGAAAATATATCATATGCCGGCTAGGCAATAGAGAATGGAGATCAGGCCTGTGTTTCTTATAGCCAACGCCCACTTGTGAGCTGTCCCGCAGTCTCCGCCCTTCTCATCAGGGTGGAGGCAGGCGACGCCACACGGCCTCAGCAGCTGAGTGCGCGTTAAAGCTCCAATAACAGCTCGTGAGCTGGTGATACGCATAGGCTTTGAAAGGTCTACATCCCATAGCAGGCTTCGTACCAAGGGTTTAAGCTGATTAAAAAGAAGAGCTTGATGGAATGCCTTAACACTAAAATTAATCTAGACTAACGCATATTTGGACACTTTGACGATTGTTTGTGTGCCGAGCGTGCTTTCCTTGCATTCAATCGTTTTCATGCCTCGCTGCTGCATGTCACACTGCCTTTTGGAGACATTGTGAGATTGAACATGAGCGACATCTCTCGACAACGTCTCTTAAAAAACACGACAGTTGAGCCTTGTTCTAGCTCTCGGAGTGGCCTACACACTAAGAGGTTCACTTCTCAGCTACCCCATTACCCCTGCCACAAAGCGCACTCCGTCCCGGTCCACCAGCAGCTCCCACACGCCGCTGTGTGAGCCTAGCTCAGCAACCCCCGGGGTAAGCGCTCAGCACCCATACGCCGCTGTGTGGGTATGGGTGCTGGGTAAGCGCTTCTTCCTCAGCAGCCCCAGGGGTAAGCGCTCTCTGTGCCTCCCCAGGTGACAACGCCTCACCCTCTCAGTGGCCCTAACGCAGCAAGGTCAGCGGGTTAAATGATGGGGTGGTTAACCCCTTCGGCTCCCACGTGCGGGGAGGGGCAGATTTAAACTCCGGTGATCTGATGGCCCCTGCGCGCTGTACGCCAGCGACCTCTGTCGTCGCTGGCGTCCCATAAATGGGTGAGCGACGACGCGCGTCGCGTTCCCTAAAGCAACAAACAATCACACAACAGGGCCTCAGCCTCTCGGCAGCTCTCGCGAGACACTGCCAGGACCTCTCAGTCGTGTCCACATTTCCGCGTCTGGCCTCTCAATGGCTCCAAACATCACCTCTCACAGTGGTTCCAGACGTCGCTACCCGAGCCCTCTCAGCCTCCCCTCCCCCCACGCTCACATGTCACCGACTGACTACTGGCCTCGGGGGCAGCTCTTCGCGTTCTCAGGCGGGTCACGTTGGGGCCTCTCGGGCAGCCTCCAGACGGCATCGTCCCAGCCTTAGCCTTTCCTTACCTTAGCCTTTCAGTAGATCCGTAAGTCACTATTTAAGCCCTCAGTAGGTCCCTAACGTCACCATCTCAGCCTTTCAGTAGGTCCGTAAGTCACTATTTGAGCCTCTCAGTAGGTACCTAACGTCACCATCTTAGCCCTTCAGTAGGCCTGTAAGTCATTATTTGAGCCCCTAAGTGGGTCCCTAACGTCGCCATTTTAGCCCTTCAGTAGGCCTGTAAGTCATTATTTGAGGCCCTCAGTGGGTCCCTAACGTCGCCATCTTAGCCCTTCAATAGGTCCGTAATTCACTATTTGAGCCTCTCAGCAGCCCCCAGATGTCACCGTCTGGGCCTCTCGGTGAGCCGCGTGAACGCCCCCGTCCCAGCCAGGATAGCCCGACGTTACGCCCCTGAGCGGGCCGCCGCCGCATTCCAAGGCGGGCCTCACTGGCACCCCGCGACAGCCATCTTATCACCAGAGCAACGGGGCGCAGCCGACACACGACACACTGACTGCAGTCGCCACGCTGACCTGACCTAGCCTGACACGCTGACCTGACGCTGACCTGACACTGGCACGACAATGACCTGACACTGACCTAGCCTGGCATGCTGTCCTGGCAGTGACCTGACAGTGACCTGACAGTGACCTGACACTGACCTGGCACTGACCTAGCCTGACATGCTCGCCTGACACTGACCTGACACTGACTTGACACTGATCTCACGGCTACATTGACAGCTGCAGCCCACACATTGACCTGACCTGACTGGCCGGGCACGGCTGCACAGACAGCTGCAGCCCACTCGCTGAACTAAACTGACAGACACACTGACGCAAGACCGTGGAGAAGATGATGAGAGCAGTTGCACAGGATAAGGAAGGCCTGTCCCCTGTCACACGCTACGAGGCTATAAGGGAAATCATCTGCGGTTGTATGGGTACCGCAATGCCCGCTGCCAATAGCAAAGACAATTTACAGCTGATGAATGATGATTATTCAAGTCATGATTGAACATAATCTAACAGCCTGAACTAATCGATGCGCTTTAGCCCTCTCGGCTTTCCCAGAACAGTGATCTCGGGCGCAAAATCCTCACGTCAACCATAATCGCCATCAATCCACCTAAACACCACCGAGGTCCAAAATCCACATGCACAAAACCCACAATAAGCACTTGCACAATGCCCTATCCACAGATATTCCAAACCACAGCTTGCATCCTTCGACTCAGATAGTCACAAATTGTCACCAAACACGACTTGAAGCAGCGACGGCAGCGCAGTGGCCTTGGCTTTCGCCAGTTCTGCGGCATTTCCGGCCTGTCTGTGTGGCGGCGCCACTAGCAGACCGGCCTCGGCGCATCCGGCGGCGAGGCTGGCGCGCAGCGCGCATTACTGCGCAGCAGCTGTCACCGCTGCCGCACTCGATGACACTTTGTGTACTTAAGAGGGGCCCGCGCCCACAATAATGCAGCATTTCAGCATTGAAACCATGGCGAGGCGTGCAAAGATACATGGCTTTAACAAGCCCCACAGTTACCGTGTGAGCACCAGCTCTTATAGTTAAGTGACGCTCCCGTTTTTGAGGCCTTGGAAGAGCGGCGGAACGCTGTCGTGGCGTCTAGGAGCCGGAGGGATTCAGTTGACATCGGAGAGGTCGCGAAGATGTGTCGTGGGGGGACCCAGTTAACGTCGGAGAGATCACGGGATCCCAGCCGACGAAGATGTGTCGAAGGGGATGCAGTAAACATCGGAGAGGTCACGGGATCCCAGCCGACGAAAATGTGTCGAGGGGATGCAGTCAACATCGGAGAGGTCGCGGGATTCCGACCGACGAAGATGTGTCGAGGAGAGACCCAGTAAACATCGGAGAGGTCACGGGATCCCGGCCGACGAAGATGTGTTGAATACGCACAGGCAGATTTAAATCACCCTGTTCAGAAAAGCCGCGGCGAGATAGTCGGCATGGGTCACCTCACGCAGTGCACTAAATGATCATACAGCAATAACAAGCATGGTGCAGCCTTGCATCTATTCACAAGCCCTCGCCCAAACCCCCAACCCCCACCCCCCAAACACACACTATCTCCACCACACACAGATCTTTATAATTCTCTCGACCTTCAAAATTAGACACCAAAAATTTGCTCAGATACTAAAAAACACAAAAACTCGTCAAAAACCCAAGACCAGTCTTAGCCAACTGCTTTTGGAGTTCATCTGGCCTTCCACCCCAGCAATGTCTATGACGTTCTACTCGCGGTTACACGGCGCCCTAGTCTGACAGTCTCTTTGGTCTGGCAGCCGATAGTCTGACAGTCTCTGGTCATGCAGTCATTAGCCTGAAAGTTCCTGGTCTGGCTGCCCCTGGCCGGACAGAACCTTATCCGACGGTCCCTGGTCTCTCACTCCGTGGTCTACAGTAACTGGTCTTACGGTGTCTCGCCTGACAAACCCTAATTAGACAGACGTTGGCATGACAGTTCCTGGCATGGCGGTCCCTGGTTTGACACCTCTGGTCCAACAGCCCAGCTCTGAACGGCACCTGATCCAACAGTGCTCTATCAGACTGTCCCATATCTGACGGTTCCTGATATGACGGCCCCGGATCTGACGTTCCCTAGTTTAGCAGCCGCCGATTTGGCGATCACTGGTGTGACTTCCCTGTTCTGGCGGTCGGCGCCATTTGAGAGGGCACCGCCGCGCCGGCCGGGCCGCAACACCCAGACGCCGTCCGGCCGGCGGTCCGACGCCAGATAAACAAACGGAGCGAGCGGCGGGGCCACGCATCCGAGCGCCGGCCCGCCGCGCGCCGCTGCAGGCCGAGCCTTAGCAGGGCATCCCGGCCCCGGTCCCAGTCCCGGCCCCGGCCCCAGGCTCGGCCCGGCCAGAGCCCCAGCCCCGGGGCCCCAGCTGCGGCCCCGGCCCCGGAGCCCCAGCTGCGGCCACGGCCCCAGCCCCGGCCCCGGCCCCGGCCCCGGCCCCGGCCAGAGCCCCGACCAGAGCCCCGGCCCCGGGGCCCCATCTGCGACCCGGCCCCCGGCCCCGGCCCCGGCCCCGATCTCGGCTCCGACTCCGGCCCGCTCCGATTTTTTCCAGGCTGCAACTGCACAAACACTTACAAGCGCGCGCTCACAGCCACTTCCCAGACCACATGCACCGGTGGCACCTCACTGACTGCAAGCGCATTACTGTATTCTGCTTCGTGTTTTCCTGCAGCAGTACTGCAATACAAAAATCCCTTCCGTTGGCAGACTACAACTCCGGATCTTTCGCACACCAATTTTGCAAGCGACAGAACAACATTGGCGGGGCGATCGAATCAGTGTCATATATGATACTCCCCAGTCGGGTGTGGAATCTTTTCAGTACAAGTTACTGGAGGAACTGTGTAGGTGAAACTCCCGAAACTTTACCACAAAATACGCGAAAAACGAGTTTATCCTACGATTTAGCCCACTTGGAAAGCCAAGGTTGGATACAGGGCTGGAGCACCCCTCTCC